TTATTATTTTGTAAATACGAATCCGAAATTAAATATAATTGGGCAGTTCACCACGTATTTCATGTCCACAAATACCCGTGGTATTTGGTATTAATATTTTCATTATTTTATCAATATGAAAATAGGAATCAATATTCAATAATATCGGTCAGTTTACCACACATTTTATGTCCACAGATTGTCCATACAACCATGAGTTACGTTGAACGGAATTAAATTAATACGACATGACATTTTAAATGCTGGTACCAGTCATGGATTGGATTATTTTGCGCAACAAAAAATCATCCTGGTAAAGGATCGATACTTTTAACTATCGTTATCAAAATTATTTGCCAGAAATTATTTTCTAATAAATCGACTTGTAATTTATTGGATATCGTAACAATGACGGCTATAAATACCGTATTTCCCGGCTAATAAGTCCACATGGCAAATAGGACGATGTCTATTTTTAGCTCTCAAAAAAGGGGTTTTTCCATATAGGCCTCCAATAAGACTGGTAGAAAAATTGTGTCCCTGTGATATGCGCTAATAATTTTATATGTTTAGAACCAGATCATGTTAGTTTGGTGGAATCATACTCACAGAATTAACTATTTTTAACAATTGAGCGGTAAATTTAAGTTGTAAAGCGGCAATCATTTTGGACAACCTATTAACCCGAATGTTGAAATAATTTTGGAATGTGATAAGTACTACACTGTACGTCCACGGGTTATTTCACAGCTGTGTTTTCCTGTCCCTGTCGTGTTCTGCTGAATCGGCAAAACGAAAGGGTCACAAATCACTTTCACTTGGTGGCCATGTTTCTCTTTAAAGTAACGATAACCGGCCTGCGATTAAATATCATGATTGGAAGACCCTAAGACCCAAATATAAGGTTACACAAATCATGCTTGAGAAGACTAATAAGCAGGCCACATAGAAATAAAATATACATACTTTTTCAATTAGACACCCCCCCCAAAAAAAAAAATCAGGCCGAAATATTGGGCATAGAAAAGCGGTATTTGTCAATTTTTCGACGTAATGGAAATGAATTTGTAAATTAAAAGCCTCGTTGACGAATGTCGGCAATGTCCACCCACGCAAACGTGCAAATGTGTCGCAACACTATGCGACGTACGGTCGCACAGAATATAAACAATCAAAGTGCCGATTCTAATTCATCGTCATTACAATACGTGAGACAGCGTAAAGAGTCGTTTGAAGATTCCCGTAAAACGAAACACCACGTTTACGGCAGAAAGTGGCTACTATTCGTAATTATTCGAAAATCAGCCGAAAAGGTATTCGAATACTATGATATTCGAATATTCGATTCGTTTTGGACAACCCTTTGGTTAGGCGATAATTTTTTTCCAATTTTCCTTGTTTTAGTCCTATTATCAGTTCGAAGACTAGCCGAGAGCCTCTCGTAGTATTTATATCTAAAATTATGGCCTAACCCTGACCTAGTACACATATTACATTCCGATGTCCGCCATCTTGGTCCGCATACTTCGGGAGCCCCAGCAAAAGAAACATCACTTTAGGAAAGAATATCTCCAAGATAAATAAACCTATGCTATGTGTATTTGAGAAGGAAAGAATATGATCAGAAGTGCATTTTGACAATTACCCTTGATAACAGAATACCCGGTTACCACGGAAACGAGGTATTGTTATCGACCGAACACGATTATTAGTCGCACAACCTGAGCCCCAACCGGTCCACAAATAGTCAAATACTATGTTCATATTGGTATGGTATAGTACGAATAGTATGGTATACGAAATAGATAATCTGTGGAAGACGGAAAACTTGCATTACATTCCAGCTCAAACTCGACTGGAATCATTGATTCTTGTAATCTAGATTCAACGTCGCCTTGTGTAAGTGCTACAATAAAAAATAAATAAAAAAACAATTGAAATAATTATATTCTCCAAAAATATATTCCACAAAGACTCCCAATAACTAGTGGGGTCCATTTTACTACCGTGTTTCCCCGAAAATAAGACAGTGTCTTATTTCAATTTTCTTCGAAAAAATAACACTAGGGCCTATTTTCGGAGGAGGTCTTTTATTTTCATTTATCAAAAACACAATTACAAAGTAGTGTCGTCGTCGTTAAGCACCTTGTCTGAACCTACCCGACCGTGACGCTCGCCACTTGGAGTTGCAATATCGCCATTGTTTGTTTAATATACGACGAGCGGAGTTGGACATCTAGTAGTAGTATATATTACGGTCCTACCCCAATATTTAGTAATCTGAAACTGTGAATCTTAAACACAATAGCGTGAAGGGGGAGGCATACACCAAATTGATTCAGTACTTATTATTATTTTTATTTAGTTGATGAAAAAATGAATCTCCCAATAATTTTTAGTAGCTCTCTGACATACTCTGGTGGTTTCACAATATCAAAATTGAGTCCGCTTACAAAAGGTTTCTGAGAAATTGGCATAGATAAAATGGGTTTATTTCGACTCCATAATCAGCAGAAAGGCGATAAAACGGTTGATAAAAACTAATAAATAAAAACTGATTATGAAATCAGGAGAGTGAACAAAACCTTGCGTAAGGTTTAAAACGTACAGGATATAAGATGGAAGGTATTGCCAATGAGAAGACGCATTACAGTAGATATCACGCATCCAGTCAAACACGTGGGTGATGTAGCCTACCAGTACCGGCACCGTGAGTGGAACGGGATTAAATTCGAATGGACATATGAGGAAAAATATCTCTGATATAAACTCTTGTATGGACAATTCACATTGATAGATTAAACAAGTTGAAAAAGGCCAGTCAGAATCATTACCGGTACTGTAGACATATTAGTTGGTAACGAATGCTGTGTACTGTTTGCTGGATCACATACTGACGTACGGTACAGTCGTACCGGTATCGTATGTGATTCTGGAAACATTACCGGCATGGTAGGTACGGTACCGGTACCGTAATATAGGTATCCATACCCGACATGGAATGTTAACCAGATGAGAGGCCGTGGTTCTCCATATGGATATGCCGTCTTATCGGCTTTCCTCTCCCCTGGGATAAATATGTAAATTCTATCTTATCCATCTGGAAATAATAAATAAGGTTGGGTCATGTGATATACCCTCATCAGTTCTGTGATTCCAAGAATAGCTCCCACGTTGGAAGACCTCAATTACCATAAAACTAGGATCAGAAGATATGACGGCTTAACCATATGGCGAACCACGGCCTCTCACCCGGTTAACATTGGGGTATGGAATTTGGTGTTTGTTTTCGGAAGCATGGACTTGATGGTGGAGGAAGTCGTAACCGACCAGCGATTACGTGAACTACCCTACGGCGGCGAGGAGTCCAGCAATCATCTCAAACTCAATCATCCCCGCATGGGATCTGCGAACCCACGCAAAGTAATTAGAGGTGCGGTGGCGAGCGTATTCCTAACGCTTAGTTCGATGAGCCACACCGCCAAACTGGGTAACTTCGGATGTTCACTATACTTTAATCTATAACCCTGCCATTTGTTTTCTGATTCGAGTCAAACTTGGAATATATTACCGTAGAAGTGCCTAACTTCGGACAAAATCACCATATTCTCGTCAATAACTTAACCATTTTTTGTCACAAAGGTAAAACAGGCTCGGTAAAACATTCGTGAGGTGATTTACATTTTACATTCCCCGCAAATTTCGGGTCAATCGGACTATTTTTACTACTAAAATAATCTACTTTTCTTGCCAGCTGACCGTTATCCTTCACTGCTTTAACTTTGAACAGTAATTTTTCTCACTGCGTAACCGCGACCAGAGCTACACCGATATAATGGCCAACTTATATATTGGGCCGATATTGCGTGTTTGCGATATATCATATTGGCCGTAAACCGCCGATATATATCGGCCTTACTCGACAAGCGCCGGGCTGCGTGCTACAACATCTCTCGCCCCTGTGTAACTGGTTTCCCAATATTCCTCTCGCTCAAAATATTATTTATATTAATATCGGCAATGCGGTATCGGTTATCGGTTGAATACAAACCAATGGCAACCATTATCCAAATTATTTCCAAAAAAGCGGGATAAGGTATAAATTATTTTACCGACTTGTGACAATTTTTTGGTGAGTATGAAAATAAGAATCAAAAATGAATTGTCTTTCGCAATCTTAAGAAAGTCATCATTGAAATTCTAAGAAAAAAAAAATTTAGAATTTATTTGAGACAGGTATCGTGCGATATGGTGCACCTGCTGTCGTGCAAGACGCCCCTCGTTTGTGAGACACAATTGAACCAAATGAAGGGATATTCTTGGAAAGTGGAACATGGTAATTGTTTTTTACCAAGCACGTTGCGCCATTGGACCTTAGATTTCATGCTATCCTTGGTGTTGAAAGAAAAAAGTTAATACCAGAACCAGCAAATGCTGGTTGAAAAATCAAGTGTTATTGAAAGGGACATAATAATATATACAGACATACTGGTACTGAAGAGCACTTTGCCTTGTTTCTTATTATCCTAAATTGCTGTTAACAAATTTAAATTTAGGATTCTGTTAAAGTTATGCTCATTAAGCAATTTTGGATTTTCTACATCGCCGTAGCTGCGCTCAAAATAAGGAAATCAGGAATTATCCAGTTGGTGTGAGGAATGCAGATCGTGCTGGTAATTCAAACCCTAACTAGAACGGGATAGCGATCGGAGATCGCCGACTTATCGATCTAGCAGTGTCTACCCTTCGCCCTGACTCAATAGCGACGCTGCGTGTCTCATCACGAATTAATCAATAACTCGCTAATTATATGACATAATTCATCCAAAATTAACAGGCTTCTGGTCCGAGATATGATAAATGCACATGCAAAATTTGTAGCAGATTCAACCTCGCCTTCGTGAGATATCGCGTAACATACAAAAGTGTCTAACAGACAAATACCTATCAACATACTTACTGATCGAGATCGATAAGTAATAACTAATTTCTTATTCTGAAACATGCTTAAATCTCAAGTTTTAAATGATTTGATCTATCTATATTTTTCTGTGGAAGCTTAATTGGAAAGTTAGGAATCCTGCGTATGCTGTCCGATATTTAATATCGATACCGAGTTGTTTATATTTATCTTGTGACACAGATAAACATATTTATATTTACTAATCCCATCCAAGGGTGTAAATATATCCCAGGTTACCAAATTTCCAGATTGATATGCTTTCACACTAAAATACCTAGTCTATGCTTTCGATACATTCTACAAAAATGAAATGACCTCAATGATAATAAATGCAAAATATTTACTCTCATTTTTAGATATTCTACCTTACGAAAAATTATATCGAAATCATAGAATCTAACTAAGACATTTTTCTCTTTGCCTTCTTTGTGATGAATACTTTCCGTCATTCAGGATCGCTTATTCATGATGATGAATATGTATCCGGTAACACTGTGGGAACTAGTCAGCCAACCAACTCAGATGATCATTGTGGGAATGTTATCACAAAGGAAACTTATTTACTAAGTGGGGATGAAGTGAAACTCGATGTATCACGTACAATGTATAATGGCGGTTTGATTCATCAAACTGAAAAATCAGATAATTGTGGACAAATTAACATAACTTCTGTATCACAAGGAAAGTTACAAATTCAGTCACTTGTTGATACCAACTGTGGGGATAGACCATATGTTTGCCAAACATGTGGGAAGAAATTGAAAGGAAAGCAAATTTTGAAAGTGCATATGAGAACTCATACAGGGGAGAAACCATATATTTGTAAACAATGTGGAAAGGGATTTTCGCAATCATCTCATCTACGTGGGCATGACCGAACTCATACTGGAGAGAAACCTTACATCTGTAAAGTGTGTGGTAAGGGTTTTTCGCAGTTAGATCCCTTAAATAGGCATGTACGAAGTCATACTGGAGATAAGCCTTATGTTTGTAAACAATGTGGAAAGGGTTTTTCGCGATCGTCTCATTTAACTGTGCACAAGCGAACTCACACTGGAGAAAAGCCGTATGTTTGTAAACAATGTGGAAAAGGTTTTCCGCAATTAACTAGTTTATGTCGGCACAAGAAAACTCATACTGGAGATAAGCCGTACGTTTGTAAATACTGCGCAAAAGCTTTTGCACAATTATCCACTTTACGAGTGCATGAGCGAACTCATACTAAGGAAAAGCCTTATGCTTGTAAATACTGCGCAAAAGCTTTTGCACAATTATCCACTTTACGAGAGCATGAGCGCACTCATACTGGAAATAAGCCTTATGTTTGTAAATACTGCACAAAAGCTTTTGCAAGATTATCCCCTTTACAACAGCATGAGCGTACTCATACTAAGGAAAAGCCTTAACCCTTTCCATGCAATTTTTATATTTTAATAAATAATCGTATTTGCTACGCCGATTTTATGCATTTGTACCCCCACAACTAATCGATCGACTAACGAAAAACTAATGATCCTCTGCTGCCTACTAACGGCTCGTTGGAAAGCTTATTTAGAGCTTGTTTATTTATTTATTTGTTGGAAAGCTTATTTAAAGAGCTTGCAATTGGCGATTGAAAAATAAAGTTTTTTTAAAAGTGGTGTTGGTACGTATACGTGCCCACCGCACGGAAAGGGTTGAATCTGGAAAAAAGAAAAAGAAAAAAAGGCTTCACACTGTCTTCATATTTTCTTATGTTGTATATAACGTAAATCACTTTTCTGGTATTCAGAAAGCTGCGATCTTATGTGTAGAACTCGACCGATATCACTTTTTGACGCCGATATCGATATATCGGCCAACTGGTGGCCGATAACCGTTATCGCAATGCCGATATTAATATATATCATATTTTGAGCCACGCTTTTATGATGCACCTTGTGAGTCTGTATTTTCATTTTGATATTTGTTATCATGGCAGTAAGGCTTTTATTTAACTAACTTCAGTTAATGCTCGAACAAATGTTATTCTGTAACTTTTCCTCCTATTCCAATATCAGTCTAGCTATTTCCAGGAAAAAGAATTGTTAATCAGACGTTTTTAAATATAACTATGGACATATGTTGAGGGTATTAAAAAATTATAAATTGATATATTTTAAAGTGAATCGTGAAAATGATCCTTCGATATTGTGATAGCAATATGCAATTTTTAATAACTTTGTTTCCAGAGACTCTCAATACCTTATTTAGTCAATAATAATGGATTAAGTTTTTATTTTGTAATTTTCAGCAAAATGATAAACAACCATCAATATAGACAAAACGATTACCCCAGAAATTTAAAATTGAATTTGGGGAGGTCACAAATTCGGAACTGACATTATTGCTTTGAACTACCTGTACCATGTTTCTATGATCACTAACTCACCAGCTTCCAATCGATTCTATTTATAGAACCGCCGATTAATGCTGTTAATAAATTTGCCTTTTTCTCATTGTGTACTCTCTCAAAAACGTCACTTAATAAAACGTCTTTGTTACTCCAGATATTAACTTTTCAGTTATGACTATGCATGAAATGGCTAATCATAAGACACCGGGAATTAGCAGAGACACCTTTATAACGCAAAATAAAAGCGAAAGAAATATTGGAAAACCAGTTACGCAGGGGCGAGAGCGTTGCAGCACACAGCCCGGCGCTTGCCGAGTATGGCCGATATATATCGGCGGTTTACGGCTGATATGATATATCGGCAAACACGCAATATCTGCCCGATATATCGGTCAAGCTATACTTATGTGCGTAACAAGTTTAATATATTAGGTTTGCTTTTATATGTATTTATGGTTTATACAGTTTGGACAAATAAAGTATTGCACAAGGGTTCCTAGAGCCACTTGAATATTTCACTGGGTTTCAGCTGTAACAAAAAGTTTAAAAACCACTGATGCTTACATTATGAGAGTATTAGTGAGTTAGACCGAAGGATTTTGTTTTGATTGATGAGCGTTTCTTGAATTTGAATTTACTATTATTTTAAGCTTGCAATTTCAAGTAATCTATATTAGCATATTTTAAAGTGTATTGACATTTTTGCATAGTTGGAAATCCACGATTTCAGACATCTGCCACAGGATTTGGTTCAAATTCAGGATTTTAGATGGATTATCCTGGAAGCATTCGTTTTTCTCGGTCACCACAGTATCCAGGTTATATGAAATCTTATTATGCTGGTATTTACAAAAAAGGCGGGCATTCTGAAGGATTGATATGATGGACTATGAAAAAATTATTAGATAAATAAAAAATACCCAAAATAGCATGGACTGGGTAAGACTTGCAGGGCCAGATAGGATTCCTGCTGATTGGAGATAAATAATGCTGGATAAGACTATGTAATATTCAGAAAATCAACTGCCCGATTACCAAATAGGAGTAGCAGTATCACCCTATTTCAGAATTTTTTGAAATATGACATTTTAGCTTCAAAATTTGACTATTTCTTTACTAATAGTGTTATAGTGATAAATAAGTTTCATCAAATCAATTTTTTCTCATTTAAGGTGTTTTTCTGGGACTTCACTACCTTCAGTGATCAATGCTACCTCTAGAGACAAGACAAGCAATTCACAGGGTTTTGATTTCTTTGGGCCAATCAAACCTCAACCAATGCGTCCGGCTGCCCCAAAACCCACCCCTAATTTGGCCCCGAGTTTACCCCCCTACGAGATCCATGTATCCAGGCCAGCAAGCAAGGTTTGCCCCACCACCGCAGATGTATAACGGCTACCCAACTGCTCCAAACCCCATGTACCGGCCCCCTAGGCCTGCTCAAATGAGCCCTGGGTACCATAGCCCCATGCAGGTCCCCAATGGCCCCCAACTTACTCAGCGTAATCAAGATTCTCACACACCTCAAAGGGATTCGTCTGCGAAACAAGGGAATCACAAGAGTGAGTGACAATTTAATGTTAGGATTTCTAGTTTTTTTTACAACACAAGTTAGCTTGAAGCGAGGTTTCGCTATCAAATATATTTTCATTTTGTATTTCTGGCAACTGGTGTTTCCCCAGATAGCTGAGCATGATCACAGTCATAATCAAGTTTCTTTTTTACTTTCTGTGATGTCATAAGTTCAGGTGACTGAAAATATGACCAACCAGCTGAGAAATGTCTATGTGCTTTCTTAAGTTGGACGCTCAGTTCTGCAGGACTAAATTTGGTTATGGTATTCGCTATACCAGTTTCAAATTTAATAAACATTTCTTTTTTAAAGAAGGTTTATAACCCACAACAAAAAGCAGAATTTTGAGAAAAATATGGAATTCTTTCTTTTCCAAAATCAGCCAAAGAAATTCCACCTCTATTCCAGAAACAAAAGCAACAGAAGATGGAAATGGCAGCTGCTCAGAATCAAAATATAGGTAAGTAAGGAATAGGATAGGATTTACATATTTTTTCCGGGAAACGAGGAAAGCCGAAGGGATGGTGAAAACTGAAAACCCTATGACGGCGAGTCCATCATTCCCCTCGCACATAATTAATGCGGTACTCTCGAAGTATGTGAACCGAGATGACGGACACCGCAACGTAGTATGTGTACCAGGTTAGGGATAGGCAGTAATTTTATTCCCATTTTTCTTATTTTAGTTCTATTACGAGTTTGGGGACTAGCCAAGTGACTCCTGTAGTATTTGTATCTGAAATTATGGCCCAACCCTAACCTGGTGCACCCAACTACGTTTCGACGTCCGCCATCTTGGTTCACGAACTACGGGAATACCATTAATTCTACATTGTAACACTCGATGGGTAATCAGTGGCTCATTAGCGAGCGTATTCCTATCAAGTCCATGAACTTGAAAGCAAATAGGTGGCTGACTAATCCCATGCCTGACATAGACTGGTAAGCGGACAAGATGTCGTGGTTCGCCATATGATAAAGCCCTTTCATTGGTTTTCCTCATTCTTGGGATAAATATGTAAATCCTATTCTGTCTAGATGTTGAACAAGCTTTAATTCAGTTTGATAGTTAGCTATTTTATTAAGCTTATTCATTCTCAACGAAACTGTACCCGTAACTAGGGATGTAAGTTTCGAATATTTATTTTTCGAATCGAATTTCGACTCACAATGTTCCGATTCGAATATTTCCGAATCTGATTCTATTTAGTATATCATCATATTATCGTTAACTTTTTTTTAATTTGGAGGAAATGGAGTATAAATTTTGATAAAATAACAATAATGAGCCCAAAGAAGGAATAAAGTTACTGGAAAAACACATTCCACGGATTTTTCGATTTATTTTTTGTTAGTATAGGTTTATTTCGACTCCATAATCAGCATAACAATAAAATGATTGGTAAAAAAAAATAAATAAAAACTGATTATGAAATCAGGAGAGCAAACAAAACCTTAGATAAGGTTTAAAACGTCAAGAATGTATACAAGATGGAAGGTTTTGCCAAGAAGAAGTGGTACGTGTTCACTCACCTGAAATAATGGAAATATTTCTCACACGCACCCACACACACAACCATACAAAAGTTATAAATTACATACGGGTAGTTAAAAAAAATAAATAAATAAAAATTACTTGCCACACCATATTAATAAATTTATAACGTTTGCCACTGCTGAATTGATAGATTTTATAAATGGGAGTGAACAGTAGAGATAAACTTTTATGAAAAATATATATTGCCAAGCTGAATATAGTTGGAGTCAATTGCCAAAAATGCCCAACCAAAGTTGCCAGAATTGGGTGCATGAAGAGGTGGGCAAGACCACTCCATTCCCCAAACTAGAGCCTATTATTGCCAAATTATAGTCCAGATTGTACTGAGTATTTAATTAAAGGTACCGGTACAAGTAACTTAATGTAACGCAATTGTTGTCAATTCAAATTTATCATAGATGAGACATCAGACTGATGTAGACACCCTTTATATTCAATAAGCTAGTCATTGAATTGGTCATCACAAACGACCTGAAAAACAGATACTAAATCTGTGAGTAGCATATTCAAGGGTTACATATTAGTGGTTACATATTTATTTAAATACAATAACGGTTGTCTAGTATCTAGTGATTGTTTCATCTAAAATTGATCTTCAAAATACACCCAAATGATAAACGCTACTTAGTACCGTTTGCGCCGTGATTTTATAAGAAGCAATGATAACGTGGGAAGCATCGCAGGCTGGTTTTTAATAACATATAAAGCAATGATGTTTTATTATAATAATATTATGTAGACAATTTAAAGGAACCTTCTTTATATATTGAAATATTTGTGGAACTTCGTAACATTTTAATTAATAAAAAAAAATGAGCAAAACCATTGGTCCCTCTAAAGCTGCTACCAATATAAAATATAACAACTCTGGGAGTGTTAGACTTTGGAAAGCTTTGAACACGAGGAAAATAAACGCTTTTGGTCGATATCGAGACTGCGCCGCCGCGTCGTGCAATTGCCCTGTGTTATCTATGTAATTCATTTTTAAATGGAATCAAGCCTCGTTTTCCTAAATTGCTTCGAATCGCTTCGATTCGAAATTCTGAAACTCACATCCCTACCGGTAACGCATCCACTGGACTCAGGAAGCCCCCAGTATTCACAGCTCTGAACAGAAATCCCGAGCCCCCAAACTGAGCCCCCACAATCAAGACCTTACCCCCAACCTATCGTCCAATTCACCCAAGGTAGGGGCAGTAAGTAAAGGATTGAAGACACTGGTACAAGCGGTAGCCAAATCTCCAAGTTCTGAAATTTTGGTGGAATAAGTGCATACTTCAGAAAGGACTGTAACCAGGGGCGGACACGAGGGGGGGCGGTCGCCCCCCCAATAATTTCGTAAAAAAATTTAATACATGTTGTTTCCGCCTTACAAAATTCTCATTTCCGAAAAGTGCGATAGTCAAGCGCAATTAAACGGTTGATAGTTGCCGATATTATAACTGTTTCTTACAATAATGTGGACCAGAGCGCCTTGGAGCACCTCCTCGCATTTTCGTAAAACATGCGCGCCCGCACGGGTAATACTCCGTCTTCAAACGCACCGCCGATCACGCGCCACGGTTTTGCACAACTAATTCATTTTTGTACAATTTGATATGATTTTCCCATTGTGTTATTGTTGGCACTTGCGAGAGAAGTGAAAGAGGCAAACTGTGTTTCATTACAACAATTAATTATTATCGCTAAAAAATTAACTAGATCTAAAGTTGTTAAGTATCTTTTCACGTTATGGATTTCGTGCAAGGCCCAGCATAATTTGCGGGCAAAGATCAAAGCATTTACTATGTCGAAAAGTTGAGAAGCGTCAATATAAAATACTAAAAATAAAACTGTAAATAATCAACAAAGTTTTGTTGAGGCCCGCGACAGTCTAAAAACGCTTTTCTAGGCATCGAAAATCGCAAAATTTCGTGTGCCTACGGCACAAATTATGTTTGCTTGACCTTTAAAAACATTGAGTCACTAAAATCGAAACACGGTCAATTGTGAGCGGGATTTGCCTTTTTATCCATTACTTTTAAATTGATGTCGGAAATTTTCGCGTTAACAAACAAAGCTGGGAACGCGACCTTTCCCCGGTTTGTGATGATATATAAGATAATTAAAGTATAATCGATCACTTTTGGTATTTATGTATTTTTATTGTACTGAAATAACTTCTACTACGTGAGAATTGACAGAAAATTTACGGATTTTTCGAAAGGTTTTATCTTTAAAAATAATCGGAGTGACAACATTGCGATTGAGCGGAGCCAGTGTGACAAGTACATCTCAAATTTATCGAATTCGCAAAATAGCAAAAATACGGATCAAAACAATATATAAACGGGCAGTTTACCACACATTTTTATGTCCGCGGATTGCCGTTGTGTTTTAGAGTGGCTCTTGTTTTGTCGACTCAACCGCAGTTTAAATTGAAAACGATTAAATTAATAAATCAAGACATTTTGAATTTGCCCAAATCGGTCACGGATTGATTACTTTGCACATTTTTCGTTGATAAAGTCGGCTCTTTTAACAAGTGGCGTAATCGCGGCGACTGTTCCGCGTGGATTTCGAGGCGGTGAATTTGTATTTTTGATTTACTAGTATACTTTATAATTATTTTCATTGTATAAATTAAAATGGTACTATATGGGATTTTATATCAGATATCGATATTTTTGTAACGGCGATAACGAGTTCGGAAGATTGCAAAAATAGGTATCAAAATTAAATACATCAGGCAGCTTATCTCATATTTTTATGTCCACATATCGCCGTAGTACTTTAGTTTAGTAATATTTTTATTTTGACGTAAGAAGTCGCAACCGCGAGTTACGTTGCACACTATTAAATTAATATATATAGGAACATTTTAGAATCTCGTGGCTGTCATGGATCAACAGAAAAATCATTATACGCTTAAATAGTCGGCTCTTTTAACGAGCGCGTAATCGCGGTGCTTGTTGCAGACGGCAATGGGAAGTTCCGACTTTGACCCCCCCGCCTTTTTTTAAATCCTGGCTGCGCGCCTGAACTTGTGCCTGTTTATTTTCGTATTAAATTATAAATAAAAACCCTACAAAGTCATTGCGTGAATCCTGAATGTTATTTCGAGTTCAAATGATGATTTAATAAATCGGCAATAATGGCAATTCTACTACTCAAATGATAATTCCTTGGTAAAATTTAGGAAAAAAATTTGCACAATAGCTTGTTTTGCATTTCCAATTTTACGAAACGGCGTTAGTGCGCTTTATGCAGAACTAGGAATTGAAACAATAACCTAATACGACTCCTCAAATTTGGTATTTTCTGTTTGTTAGTAAGAGCAGTGGGCTAATTCTCGCGGAATTCAAGAAATTGGTTCAGTAACGCGCAAGTTCCGTGTCCGAGCAAAGCAGCCTAGGTACTCGATATATGAGTAGCGAAATGACATGCTAATACTTAGAGAATGACATCGACAGGTTATTGTTACGTGACGATACACGGCGCGGTGTTTTTCGGTAGGCGATCCAAGTTCGCCCCCCCAAAATTATGGAAAGTGTCCGCCCCTGACTGTAACCGAATATTCTACTGTTCTGAATATATTTATTATTGTATATATATTTAAGCATCGTATATCCTCGCATATAAGCAGAGTTTAAAACTTGAAAAAAAAGTTGCCAAACTAAGTGGTCGGCTTGTAGCCGATTCAATCGAATACCACTAAAAATTCTGCTTAAATGCTAACTCTGATGGCACTCAAAGGAAATGCTAACTTGTAGGGTCTGGTTATATTCGCATATTTATAGATTCATCATTTTAGGGGGTTCACTTATATTTGAGGATATATTATAGGTACTGCCAAGAAGGTAATCAATTGTATAACTATATTCTATTATTCTGGATAAAATGTTGTCTTATTAGCGTCATATTAAAAAAGTTTCTTAATTGCCCCCTGGGTCTCGGGTAGTGTCTCACCCCAATAATCATTCCTGACCCCCACCTGACTACATCATACAAAAATTACACCACTGCACGTCACAATCATGAAATAGAGCTTGCCAAAGTATAGCAACGGTCAACTGAAATTCCAAATAAATATAAAACAATATTTTTTGCAGAAATCATCCAATTTCAAAGACTCCCTTCACGGCATCGTTCGACACAAAACCAGAAGCATCCTTCTCCCACTATACATGAGACCAACATTGATGCAGGCTCCGTTCCAACATGCTATTGACAATGCTACCCAGCAGGTATGATGTTCTTTCCAAATGACACTGATGACACCTTTTTACTGTGATGTGGATTTTTGGCACTGACTGTTATTGAAACTAAGCTCGCAATCGCCTCAATTCCTGTGTCAACTTGCGTATTGCGTTCAGTAAAATAGAGCTGTGTATTGAAGATATAGTGAAAAGGAAATTTCAGTTTCATCAATCTCACTGAGTCAAAGGACTGTTTCTAATAAATGGTTGTCTGTATTTGAGTCAAACTGTACGAACCTTAAAAAACACATTTTGCGTTATTTAGGATTGGGTCACGAGTATTCATAAAACTCAGATTTGGGTCGCGCTCGAAAAAGTTTATGAACCACTGACATAAAGACTGGTTGATTACAGCTTCGTCCACCATCAAGTCCATACTTACGAAACAAATATTCGGCTAATTAATCCTATACTGGACATGGAGTGGTAACCAGATGTGTTGTAGCTTCATCCACCATATGTCCAGATTAGAAGATTTTGTATTTTTCAATAAATTTATATGATTTCGTAATAGTTGTCCAGAGGTATGATCTGAATGATTTGAAAACCATCCACCTTACCAAGGGTATAATAAAATATGTAGGTTATACGACATTGGAAAGGTTCAAGTCCTTCCGAAAATGGTAGTTCCTTAGAAGTCCTCACTATCAATTTAAACATTTTTTAATACACAGGGTATGCAGACAACATTGAAAAAACTCTCAGATCTCGAGTCAGAAATCCCTCTGATAAAATCCTCGATGGGGAACTTTCTCTCAAAAGTAGTAATATTCGAGTTTTTGGCCTTGTCGGATCTTGGAGAGATGCTGGTCGGAGGCTACCATTTTTGTCTCTTCCTGTTGACCCTTCAACAAAGGTCAAGGGTGAAGATTGGATCACTCGTGCGTTTGAAGAAAGTAAGATCAACATGATCGAAATGCTCCCAGGTATATTGTATTATAAGGCTTCATAACCGAGGTGGGCAACCATGGGCCAATCATTTTGCCCACTTAGACTGGCGGGCAATGTAAGTGTGACGTAAAAAGTTACATTCTATAAACAATACTTACAGTGTTACAAAAGCAAAAGTGGAAAACAATAAGCCTCGTCGTGCCAAAACTAAATTTAATGGCGATCTCAACAAATTCCTTGAGCTGTTTTTTAGCTAAAAAATTTGGTTTTATCTTGGTTGTGGCGGGCCAGATTGAATTGCCCAACGAGCCGTATTTCGCCCATGGGTTGTAGTTTGCCAATGCCAGCTTTATAACAAGGTTAAAAACTTAGGAATGACTGTTATGACTGCTTTCTGTAAAAAAAATTATGCTTGTCGCCATGGGTAACTGAAAACCCCGCCTCCGACTAAATTTCTCAGACTCCAGTCTGACGCCAAACTGGCTCCACGGCACTCCCAGAAGTGTGTGTACCAATATGAAGATAACTAATTTTGTTCGCCTACTTTACATCGAGTTGTGTAAAGTTACTGAAACCTATGGGCAGGGAGTATATTCACTTGGCCAACACAGACAGTCCCCGACTTGTAATAGAACTGAAATAGGGAAAATCGGGATAAATTTATGGCCTAACCCTAACCTGGTACACACACTACGGGAGTACCGCACTTTTACTTTTATTATTTACAATTGTTAACTGAAAACCCCGCCTCCGACTATGAGAAATGACGCGAAATATGCCAAATTCACAACTCTGTAATGACAAGCGCTCGAATGCTTGCGTTACAACAACTGTTGCCTGGAGGGGAGGAAAGCTGATAAGACTCCTATTTTCTTATCATTATTCTTCTCATATCTTATCTTACAGAAGCATCTCAGACCAAATCTGCAATGAATACAATCCTAGAAGGAAAACAACTGCAATTCCTGTTCCCATTGGTCCATATTGAATCCAAACTGTCCAATCAGATTGCAGAGAACCCAAACCCCTCCTCTATCTACCAATGAAAATGTGACCTCTGACCTCTACACTGACCCTGGGTTCATTAATGTGCTTGTTTCATGGTAAGTAGTATTTCTTGTGTTTTCATAAATATTCGCTCAAATCAGGGTCCGAGTCTTAGACCAAAAGCTGAAAGAGAGCTAATAGAATATTGCGGCCGAAAAGGCTGAGAGTGATACATAGGCTTAGGATAGGATTTAGATAGTTATCGTGGGGAAGAGAGAGTCAATAAGACGGGTAATCATGTGGCGAACCACGGCCTCTCATCCGGTTACAATGTCGGGTATGGGATTCGTTAGCCAGTTATTTATTTTTATCATCGCATGGGATATGAACCTGCAAACCCCAGCAGGGTAATCAGAGATGCTGATGCCCTTCTGTTTTTTCTAGCAGAACTGGGATTTCTCAGATTCGGCATTGCCTTGGCCAATTCATTACTCCCTCAAGATAAGCTGATGGGAAGGCGTATTGTAACGCTTCTCTTCTTTGGGTCTTGTACACTAAATCAGGGGTTGTGCAACCTTTATTGCAGAAGGGCCAGATTTAAGTAATTGGGTGAGGCCGCACCTTCATTCGAAACCTTCCAATAGAAAAAGCTAGTTTTGCTAATATGACACTCAAGCACTGGCATGTGATTGAACTTACTCGTACATACCAGATAATTAAACTAAAAACTCGTTTTGCTTGCACACCATTCAAAGTTTGCACTTCTCCGCGGGCCGCAGTTTGCACCCCCTGCAATAAATTAATAAATAAAATTTTGTTCTTATTTCAGCTCTCTTGATCATATCACAAAGCATAGCAGTCTAGCGGAGGGCTAGAACGAACGCAAAATCCATTGAGGGAGATTCAAGAAAAAGAGCGCCAACTACTGGTCAAAATAAAACCTGTATTGCAGAAATTTTTTCATGATAAGCCAAAGTTACAATTGTATGCTTTGTATGCTGCTCAAGTCTTCTGCTGTAACAAGGAATTCCCGAAAGGTATGCGATTTATTTATACAAATCCTATCCTATCCTTATTATATACATTATCGGCGCGGCGGTGTGGCTCAACGGGCTAAGCGTTAGGAATACGCTCACCACCGCACCTCTAATTACTCTGCGTGGGTTCGCAGGTTCGAATCCCATGCAGGGATGGTTATGTGCGAGAGGATTGCTGGACTCCTCGCCGTCGTTGGGTGGTTCACGTAACCGCTGGTCGGTTACGGCTTCCTCCACCACCAAGTCCATGCTTCCGAAAACAAACAATACAGTAAAAACTAATCCCATACCCGACTTGGAATGGTAACCGGACGAGAGGCTGTGGTTTGCCATATGGATAAGCCGTCTTATCGGCTTTCCTCTGCCCGGGATAAATATGTAAATCCTATCCTATCCTAACTTAGCAAGGTCTTTTGCCTGGGCTCTTGCTTGTGACCCCTAGAATATCGATTCACGGCCCCGGAAAAGTGAGCGCATTGTGATGGAGAAATAAAGATATTTAAATAGGGTAAAGTGTGAGATATAACTAAATCGGCTGGAAATAATTTGATATCACAAAAAATTTGAATTAAATCTTGCATATTAGTTACTATTTGTTCAGAACTAAGTAATGTAAACTAAAATATCTTCTTGTGATTTTCTGTCACATGTTTACCCTCAGCCTTGTTCAAAGAGTTACCCTCAATTTGTCTTCTTATGCTGGACAATTTTCATGTTTTAGCCCCCAAAAATTCATAGCACTTAGTGGCCCCCATTATTATATAAAAGCGAAAGTGAAAGTTTGAGGCGCCAGTGAAGACATTTGTTTGTTTCCCCAGAGGAATTAATCTGTGCTCAGTTTGAGAAGTCCTGAACTGAGACCTTTTCTTGTGGTCACAGGTTCCAAAAATTTGTAGTTCTTTGTGACCTCACTATTAAAGTAAAAGTATGCCCAGAGGAACTAATCTGTGACCCTGTATAGAGGGTCGAGGGCCCAGTTTGAGAAGCCTTTAACTTAGGCTTACCATACGTTCCGTTTTAGGCGGGACAGTCCCACATTTTAGCGTCTTGTCCCTGCAGCCGTCTTAATACACAGACATTCACCAATTATCATTTTTTCGATACTGTTGTTGCTGTGTAGCGTACCGATAGCCTACTTACTGAAGGTGGATGCATAGTTTATTGTTAGAGGATAATTGCTACAATTTGTTACGCGTAAGCCCCGTATGCCAAAAAGGTGCTTACGTTAATGTAAATTTCTTTGTATTTTTCAAACTGAAACCGATATTTAGACAGACAGCGCATGAACTCACGATGACAATATGGTCAATGAAGACAGCCGGGATGGTTTTAAATGTAGGCCTCTTATGTAAAATCAGTAAATTCAAAGTTGAAAAAATCACAGCTTAGGTTTTGGAGGTATTCCTATATGGTATCCCTACTTTAACTGAAACCTCTTCCTGTGATTTCAGGTCTTCTGCTCCGATTGTTCAATGGTTTGTATGAAGAAGATGTTGTTGATCGGAGACTTACTATGTGTGGAAGGAAGATGTTAATGAACAGTATTGTGGAAAGGGGAAGGCATTGTTTCAGGTCGGTACCTTGTATGTGTGGCACATGCCATGTTATTTGAGGTGCTTAGTTTTTTTAAACACATGTCTTAGTTTATCTTTGTTTAGGCCCGTCAGTGCCTAGTTTTTTGGCATGTACCATCAGTTTTATTGAGTTGGTGCCCTGTTTTATTTGACATGCCATGGTTTTAGTACGGTTGGTGTCTTGCTTTTTGGAACATTTCAGTTTTTTAGATGTATGCCATCGTGTGTCTGATCGATGCTTTGTATTTGACATATGCCATGGTCTGTCACGTTAGTGGCATGGTGTTTGCCAGGTTGGTGGCATATGTCATGGTTTGTTTCAGTTTAGTGCTTATCTTTTTGGTACATGCCGTAGTGTGCCAGGTTGGTTGGTGCCTTGTTTTTGTCACATATGTGATAGCCATTGTACGTATCGGATCGGAGTCTTCTGTTACATATGCCATGTCATGCAATTTTGTTCAATCCTCCACTTTTGGTTGAAGGCTTCATTTTGATAAAACTTCAAACATTGAATTTTTGTTTTCAGATGAACAAATGGCTGGCTTAGCTTCGTGAAGCTGAAACAGATGACGGAGAAGACAAATAATGTTTGAGATTGTTGTGTCATAATCAGCACTTATGATGTCATAATCAACCAATGTGATGTAACAATCAGGCAGTGTGATGTCACGCTATTTTGTGCAGTACTATTGGCAGGGAATCAATTAATGTTGGTTTGTGATGTCACAAAACAAATATTGTGATAAAACAAAAACTATAGTTGAATCACAAATAAACAAATATACTACAATGCACTATATTGTAAATAAACTTCTCTTCCAATTTTTGAGAACCACCTTGTAAATATTATTGTTTTTGTCTGTCATAGTTTGTGAGTTCCGTTAGTCTGCCATTTTCCCGAGAATTATTTCTGCTTTTTGATACCAATTTTTTAGTCTTTTTATGCTTTGTAGTGAGTTTTATAAATTTTGTGGAAGTTCAAAGTTCAACATTACAGTGATAAATTTATGAAAAATTAGATTAGTTGTCATTTAGAATGTTGAAATCTCAATCTATTAAACAATTTTGAATTATGGAATGTAAAATAATTCAAATTGTGGCAATGCATCAAACATTTAGCGTCAGAAAAAGATGTTGGTTGTTCAAAAAGTGTAAAGAATATTTGCGCTGGCTTTTGATATAGAAATTTAATGCCTAATCCTGTAAAACATTCATTATAGGGAGGGGGCTTTCCAATAAGCCGTATAATGGCTGTATAGCTGTGGTTCCCAACCTTTTACGCCTCGTGGCCCCCTTCAGAGGATTTTAGTTCTCATGGCCCCTGTTTATCTTTCCAGTGGTATTTATAGTGTTATTTTGATTGGTGGAATCCAAATCCCATTATGTTCAAACAATTCATGCTCAACAAAGTGAAAAATCCTTTGGAATAACATAACCTTATCAGGCAATGAAACTAGGAAAAAAGTAAAATCAGTTTTCTCCTGGCATGGTGGCCCCGTCTAACTGCTCTGTGGCCCATTTGGAGGGCCACGGGTCCCCGGTTGGCAACCACTGCTGTATAGTTTTACTTTGTTTTAAAATTATTTTCACCAATAATCTAACTCTCTGCGTTGATTTTGTCTTCGTCCAGTTTTGAAAAATGTTTTTTTGTCATAATTAACTACAATCATGTATCTATTGTACTGTTTATTTATTTATTATATTTACTGGAAATTCGAACTATATGTATTTGTGTGAATTAGATGACCTGATGGTCATTGTGTTTTGGACTCAGCTACTTTCCCGGTTAAATAATGTTTTACCTTAACCCCACGCCCACAATCTTACCCAGGTAATAAATTAGGCAAGCAATACCTTCAAATCCTGCAGAACAATGGTTCCCAAACTTTTTAAGCCACGCCCCTTTTTAGAATTTGTCAAGCCACGCCCCACTTCAAAAACAACCAGCTGACGATAAGCTACAAATAACAGATAGTAAGGAGAAAGTATGCTTTATTCAAAAAAACATGTTGAAAATACCTGAATGGAACGTAAATAAAAAAATAATAAAAGTTATTAAAACAAGCAAAATTCAGCAAATATTTTTGATCAGATTTTTGCCCCCTCCGGCAAAAAAATTGTCTCCGCCCCATTGAGCGGTGCGCCACACCGTTTGAAAATCACTGCTAAAAAAGCCTAATTTCGAGTTCAATTAGTGTCTAACATATCCATCTCGGCCTTGTCAGTGTGGCCATTTTGTTTCCAAGAAAATTTCTCGACCTTTGACCCCATCCCGATCCCTGATTAGTACATACTAAAAAGTATTTTCGATGAGTATTTAAAGTATTGTCATCTTTTTATAGAATTATAGTGCTTTTTAAATGTTGCCACACAGCATGCTAAGATTATGCGGAATTTTAGAGCAAAAAAAAAGATTTTTTTGAAAATGTCATTTTTGTAAAAATCTTTGTACTGAGATTAAGTGTTGTTGTTACATCATAATTAAATCTGCAATGTATTATTGTGATATCACAACGTTTTGAATAAATGAGTGAGAAATAAGAAAATATCAACATATGCATGTTTTTGTTTGTGTCTGATAAGATGACCTGGTTCAGTGGTTAAATTGAGGGTTATAGTTATCATATCATGCTTATTTCGCGTATAAGGAAGCATGGCGGGTTGAAGCTAGGAGGACTAATATCATGGTAATAAGAAATAAAGTCCAATTCAGCAACTAGTAAGTTAGAGCATAATACTGCCGCCATTATGAGAATACAACATAAGTATCTTACGGACATAATTAGGACCAAGTAAAATCTGCCAAACTGTCAGCAATCGTATCTCATATACCTGATCACGTGATTTGCGCAGAATTGCATCGGCCATGTTGTTGCCATGCGCAGACGGACATTTCAACCGGAAGTATGTACTTGCCTTGCGCAAGAAAATACCGAGATTTGATTGGCTGATTGAATATTTCTCAGCCTGCGCAGTAGACTTACCGGCCATCTACTTGCCATGCGCAAGATTTCTGGGAAAACGACCGTTGCCAGATAAATTTGGTAAACAGATTCTAGAAGTCTGGCAACGTTCAAAAACATAACATTTTCGCGCATGGCAACTGCATGTCCGTTCTAGCACTGCGCATGTCACATGACTTCGAAATTTTCTCATTGGGTAACTCTGAGCCAATTGAAATAGCACACGAAGTTTCAACATAAAGAGTTGAAATTCCTGGAACAAACACAAGAACAAAGACAAAAAATCTCGTCATCCGATCTGGCGTAGTCAGTAAAACGACCAAGAATTAATCCTGTCGTTCGAGTTCAATACCAGACCCATCCACTCTTTTCTTCAGTCGTTTTGAAGTAATCGGAAGATAAGTATCAGAGGTTAGAACGTTTTCTTCGTCGGCCGCTGTGGCGCATTGAATCTGTCGTTTTCAAGTAATCTCATTGCCCAAGTTCAAAACCGGCCCCCTACACTTCTTTTTCAGTTGTCTTGAAGTAATCGAGAGATAAGTATTGGAGGTTAGAACATATTCCCCGACCACTAGCGTGGCGCACTGACAATGACGCAGGTGAGGTGTTCACCTGGACCTGGGTTCGAGCCCAGGTCCGAGTTGCCGATGAAGGCGTCCTCTACTTTGACCTACGAGACTTGTCTCGTGGTCCGGGAGGGGGCGGCGATGTACGGAACTCGGGGAAGTTGCCATTCAAATGTGACTCCCCAAACCCCAATGATCCTGCAGAGTCAGTGCGATGGACGCAACGGGTGGTCTTTTTCTGGAATATTTTTAATAATATTAGCAACAATAAAAAGCCGGGATGATTTCATGTTTCGAGCCGAACGATATCTTATCTTACATTGTGCCTTTGTTCTCTTGGCGCACTCTCTTTGTCTGCGTGAAGTATGTTTCGAGCCGAACTATATTTTACATTGTTCCTCCGTTCTCTCGGCGCACTCTTTTTGCGCCTTGCGTGGAGAGCTATCGCTTGGTGGATTCGAACCTTCTAGTCTTCGGCCCAATCTTCTCACGCCTAACCCAGTGCGCCACCACACCATCTCAAGCACAGAGATGTAATCCCGGGTATTCATCTCACGAGGAGCTGAACTTGTATACGAAAAATAACTCCAACTACTACGAATTATTCCCTCGTCATCCGATCTGGCGTAGTCAGTAAGACGACCAAGGAGTAATCCTGTCGTTCGAGTTCAATACCAGACCCATGTACTGTTTTCTTCAGTTTTCTTGGAGCAATCGAGAGATAAGTATTAGAGGTTAGAAGATAGTCCGCGACCACTAGCGTGGCGCACTGACGAAAACGCAGGTGAGGTGTTCACCTGGACCTGGGTTCGAACCCAGGTCCGAGTTGCCGTAGAAGGCGTCCCCTACTTTGACCCACGAGACTTGTCTCGTGCTCCGGGAGGGGGCGGCGATGTACGGAACTCGGGGTAGTTGCCATTCAAATGTGACTCCCCAAACCCCAATGATCCTGCAGAGTCAGTGCGATGGACGCAACGGGTGGTCTTTTGTGAAATATTTAATAATATTAGAAACAATAAAAGGCCAGGAGGATTTTATGTTTCGTGTCGAACGATATTTTGCGGCGTGCCTCTGTTTTCTTGGAGCACTCACCGAGCCTGAGTGAAGTATGTTACGAGACGAACGATATCTTACATTGAGGCTCTGTTCTTCTGGTGCACTCTCTTTGCGCCTTACGTGAAGAGCTATCGCTTGGTGGATTCGAACCTTCTAGTCTTCGGCGCAATCTTCTCACGCCTAACCAAGTGCGCCACCGCACCATCTCAAACACAGAGATGTAATCCGAGTATTTATCCCACGAAGAGCTGAACTTTTATACGAGATAAAATTCAACTACTACGAATCCGTGAACTCTCGAGATCCTCTCCATGTTGGACTCGAACCTATAATGTTCGGCACAACTTGCCAACGCTTAGTCCGATACGCCACAGCATCGTGCAACGTCCAGCGATTTAATGCCTCTTAACTGATCGTTTTGATCTCTGATATCTCTTGATTACTCCAAAACATATGAAAAAGTAATCTTTTCGTTTGGTAAATACCAAAATTAAATCGCTGGACGTTGCACGGTGCTGTGGCGTATCGGACTAAGCGCTGGCAAGTTGTGCCGAACATTATAGGTTCGAGTCCAACATTAAGAGGATCTCGATAATCCACGGATTCGTAGTAGTTGAATTTTATCTCGTATAAAAGTTCAGCTCTTCGTGGGATAAATACTCGGATTACATCTCTGTGTTTGAGATGGTGCGGTGGCGCACTGGGTTAGGCGTGAGAAGATTGCGCCGAAGACTAGAAGGTTCGAATCCACCAAGCGATAGCTCTTCACGTAAGGCGCAAAGAGAGTTCACCAAGAGAACAGAGCCTCAATGTAAGATATCGATCGTCTCGTAACATACTTCACGCAGGCAGAGAGAGTGCGCCAAGAGAACAGAGGCACGCTGTAAAATATCGTTCGGCTCGAAACATAAAATCATCCTGGCCTTTTATTGTTTCTAATATTATTAAATATTTCACAAAAGACCACCCGTTGCGTCCATCGCACCGACTCTGCAGGATCATTGGGGTTTGGGGAGTCACATTTGAATGGCAACTACCCCGAGTTCCGTACATCGCCGCCCCCTCCCGGACCACGAGACAAGTCTCGTAGGTCAAAGTAGGGGACGCCTTCTACGGCAACTCGGACCTGGGTTCGAACCCAGGTCCAGGTGAACACCTCACCTGCGTTTTCGTCAGTGCGCCACGCTAGTGGTCGCGGACTATCTTCTAACCTCTAATACTTATCTCTCGATTGCTCCAAGAAAACTGAAGAAAACAGTACATGGGTCTGGTATTGAACTCGAACGACAGGATTACTCACTGGTCGTCTTACTGACTACGCCAGATCGGATGACGAGGGAATAATTCGTAGTAGTTGGAGTTATTTTTCGTATACAAGTTCAGCTCCTCGTGAGATGAATACCCGGATTACATCTCTGTGCTTGAGATGGTGTGGTGGCGCACTGGGTTAGGCGTGAGAAAATTGGGCCGAAGACTAGAAGGTTCGAATCCACCAAGCGATAGCTCTTCAAGCAAGGCGCAAAAAGAGTGCGCCGAGAGAACGGAGGAACAATGTAAAATATAGTTCGGCTCGAAACATACTTCACGCAGACAAAGAGAGTGCGCCAAAAGAACAAAGGCACAATGTAAGATAAGATATCGTTCGGCTCGAAACATGAAATCATCCCGGCTTTTTATTGTTGCTAATATTATTAAAAATATTCCACAAAAAGACCACCCGTTGCGTCCATCGCACTGACTCTGCAGGATCATTGGGGTTTGGGGAGTCACATTTGAATGGCAACTTCCCCGAGTTCCGTACATCGCCGCCCCCTCTCGGACCACGAGACAAGTCTCGTAGGTCAAAGTAGAGGACGCCTTCATCGGCAACTCGGACCTGGGCACGAACCCAGGTCCAGGTGAACACCTCACCTGCGTCATTGTCAGTGCGCCACGCTAGTGGTCGGGAAATATGTTCTAACCTCCAATACTTATCTCTCGATTACTTCAAGACAAATGAAAAAGAAGTGTAGGGGGCCGGCTTTGAACTTGGGCAATGAGATTACTTGAAAACGACAGATTCAATGCGCCACAGCGGCCGACGAAGAAAACGTTCTAACCTCTGATACTTATCTTTCGATTACTTCAAAACAACTGAAGAAAAGAGTGGATGGGTCTGGTATTGAACTCGAACGACAGGATTAATTCTTGGTCGTTTTACTGACTACGCCAGATCGGATGACGAGATTTTTTGTCCTTGTTCTTGTGTTTGTTCCAGGAATTTCAACTCTTTATGTTAAAACTTCGTGTGCTATTTCAATTGGCTCAGAGTTACCCAATGAGAAAATTTCGAAGTCATGTGACATGCGCAGTGCTAGAACGGACATGCGGTTGCCATGCGCGAATATGTTATGTTTTTGAACGTTGCCAGACTTCTAGAATCTGTTTACAAATTTATCTGGCAACGGTCGTTTTCCCAGAAATCTTGCGCATGGCAAGTAGATGGCCGGTAGTCTACTGCGCAGGCTGAGAAATATCCAATCAAATCTCGGTATTTTCTTGCGCAAGGCAAGTACATACTTCCGGTTGAAATGTCCGTCTGCGCATGGCAACAACATGGCCGATGCAATTCTGCGCAAATCACGTGATCAGGTATATGAGATACGATTGGCTGACAGTTTGGCAGATTTTTACTTGGTCATAATTATGTCCGTAAGATACTTATGTTGTATTCTCATAATGGCGGCAGTGTTATGCTCTAACTTACTAGTTGCTGAATTGGACTTTATTTCTTATTACCATGATATTAGTCCTCCTAGCTTCAACCCGCCATGCTTCCTTATACGCGAAATAAGCATGATATGATAACTATAACCCTCAATTTAACCACTGAACCAGGTCATCTTATCAGACACAAACAAAAACATGCATATGTTGATATTTTCTTATTTCTCACTCATTTATTCAAAACGTTGTGATATCACAATAATACATTGCAGATTTAATTATGATGTAACAACAAACAATTAATCTCAGTACAAAGATTTTTACAAAAATGACATTTTCAAAAAAATCTTTTTTTTTGCTCAAAAATTCTGCATAATCTTAGCATGCTGTGTGGCAACATTTAAAAAGCACTATAATTCCATAAAAAGATGACAATACTTTAAATACTCATCGAAAATACTTTTTAGTATGTATCGGGCACTATTCAGGGATCGGGATGGGGTCAAAGGTCGAAAGTTTTTCTTGGAAACAAAATGGCCACACTGACAAGGCCGAGATTGATATGTTAGACACTAATTGAACTCGAAATTAGGCTTTTTAGCAGTGATTTTCAAACAGTGTGGCGCACCGCTCAATGGGGCGGAGACAATTTTTTGAGGGGGCAAAAATCTGATCAAAAATATTTGCTGAATTTTGCTTGTTCTAATAACTTTTATTATTTTTTTATTTACGTTCCATTCAGGTATTTTCAACATGTTTTTTTGAATAAAGCATACTTTCTCCTTACTATCTGTTATTTGTAGCTTATCGTCAGCTGGTTGTTTTTGAAGTGGGGCGTGGCTTGACAAATTCTGAAAAGGGGCGTGGCCTAAAAAGTATGGGAAGTATTTGGAAGGTATTGCTTGCCTAGTTCATTACCTGGGTAAGATAGTGGGCGTGGGGTTAAGTTTAGAACATTATTTAACCGGGAAAGTAGCAAAGTCCAAACACAATGACCATCAGGTCATCTAATTCACACAAATATATATAGTTCGAATTTCCAGTAAATATAATAAACAAATAAACAAACACATTAGTACAATAGATACATGATTGTAGTTAATTATGACAAAAAAACATTTTTCAGAACTGGACGAAGACAAAATTAACACAGAGAGTTAGATTATTGGTGAAAATAATGTTAAAACAAAGTAAAACTATACAGCAGTGGTTGCCAACCGGGGACCCATGGCCCTCCAAATGGGCCACAGAGCAGTTAGAAGGGGCCACCATGCCAGGAGAAAACTGATTTTACTTTTTTCCTAGTTTCATTTCCTGAAGGTTATGTTATTCCAAAGGATTTTTCACTTTGTTGAGCATGAATTGTTTGAACATAATGGGATTTGGAATCTACCAATCAAAATAACACTATAAATACCACTGGAAAGATAAACAGGGGCCATGAGAACTAAAATCCTCTGAAGGGGCCACGAGGCGTAAAAGGTTGGGAACCACAGCTATACAGCCATTATACGGCTTATTGGAAAGCCCCCTCCCTATAATGAATATTTTACATGATTAGGCATTAAATTTCTATATCAAAAGCCAGCGCAAATATTCTTTACACTTTTTGAACAACCAACATCTTTTTCTGACGCTAAATGTTTGATGTATTACCACAATTTGAATTATTTTACATTCCATAATTCAAAATTGTTTAATAGATTGAGATTTCAACATTCTAAATGACAACTAATCTAATTTTTTAAAATTTATCACTGTAGTGTTGAACTTTGAACTTCCACAAAATTTATAAAACTCACTACAAAGCATAAAAAGACTAAAAAATTGGTATCAAAAAGCAGAAATAGTTCTCGGGAAAATGGCAGACTAACGGAACTCACAAACTATGACAGACAAAAACAATAATAATTACAAGGTGGTTCTCAAAAATTGGAAGAGAAGTTTATTTACAATATAGTGCATTGTAGTATTTTGTTTATTTGTGATTCAACTATAGTTTTTGTTTTATCACAATATTTGTTTTGTGACATCACAAACCAACATTAATTGATTCTCTGCCAATAGTACTGCACAAAATAGCGTGACATCACACTGCCTGATTGTTACATCACATTGGTTGATTATGACATCATAAGTGCTGATTATGACACAACAATCTCAAACATTATTTGTCTTCTTCGTCATCTGTTTCAGCTTCACGAAGCTAAGCCAGCCATTTGTTCACCTAAAAACAGAAATTCAATGTTTGAAGTTTTATCAAAATGAAGCCTTCAACCAAAAGTGGAGGATTGAACAAAATTGCATGACATGGCATATGTAACAGAAGACTCCGATCCGATACATACAATGGCTATCACATATGTGACAAAAACAAGGCACCAACTTGGCACACTACGGCATGTACCAAAAAGATAAGCACTAAACTGAAACAAACCATGGCATATGCCACCAACCTGGCAAACACCATGCCACTAACGTGACAGACCATGGCATATGTCAAATACAAAGCATCGATCAGACACACGATGGCATACATCTAAAAAACTGAAATGTTCCAAAAAGCAAGACACCAACCGTACTAAAACCATGGCATGTCAAATAAAACAGGGCACCAACTCAATAAAACTGATGGTACATGCCAAAAAACTAGGCACTGACGGGCCTAAACAAAGATAAACTAAGACATGTGTTTAAAAAAACGAAGCACCTCAAATAACATGGCATGTGCCACACATAAAAGGTACCGACCTGAAACAATGCCTTCCCCTTTCCACAATACTGTTCATTAACATCTTCCTTCCACACATAGTAAGTCTCCCATCAACAACATCTTCTTCATACAGACCCTTGAACAATCGGAGCAGAAGACCTGAAATCACAGGAAGAGGTTTCAGTTAAAGTAGGGATAGCATATAGGGATGCCTCCAAAACCTAAGCTGTGATTTTTTCAACTTTGAATTTACTGATTTTACATAAGAGGCCTACATTTAAAACCATCCCGGCTGTCTTCATTGACCATATTGTCATCGTGAGTTCATGCGCTGTCTGTCTAAATATCGGTTTCAGTTTGAAAAATAGAAAGGAATTTACATTAACGTTAAGCACCCTTCTGGCATACGGGGCTTACGCGTAACAAATTGTAGCAATTATCCGCTAACAATAACAAACAAAACTATGCATCCACCTCCAGTAAGTAGGCTATCGATACGCTACACAGCAACAGCAGTATCGAGAACATGATAATTGGTGAATGTCTGTGTATTAAGACGGCTGCAGGGACAAGACGCTAAAACGTGGGACTGTCTCGCCTAAAACACAACGTATGGTAAGCCTAAGTTGAAAGCTTCTCAAACTGGGCCCTCGACCCTCTATACAGGGTCACAGATTAGTTCCTCTGGGCATACTTTTACTTTAATAGTGAGGTCACGAAGAACTACAAATTTTTGGAACCTGTAACCACAAGAAAAGGTCTAAGTTCAGGACTTCTCAAACTGAGCACAGATTAATTCCTCTGGGGAAACAAGCAAATGCCTTCACTGGGCCTCAAACTTTTACTTTCGCTTTTATATAATAAAGGGGGCCACTGAGTGCTATGAATTTTTGGGAGCTAAAACATGAAAATTGTCCAGCATAAGAAGACAAATTGAGGGTAACTCTGAACAAGGCTGAGGGGAAACATGTGACAGAAAATCACAAGAATATGTTTTAGTTTAAATTACTTGGTTCTGAACAAATAGTAACTAATATGCAAGATTTAATTCAAATTTTTTGTGATATCAAATGCTTTCCAGCCGATTTAGATATATCCCTCGCTTCGCCCTATTTAAATATCTCTATTTCTCCATCACAATGCCCTCACATTTCTAGGGCCGAGAATCGATATTCTAGGGGTCACAAGCAAGAGCCCAGGCAAAAGACCTTGCTAAATTGTATAAATAAATCGCATACCTTTCGGGAATTCCTTGTTACAGCAGAAGACTTGAACAGCATACAAAGCATACAATTGTAACTTTGGCTTATCATGAAGAAATTTCTGCAATACAGGTTTTATTTCGACCAGTAGTTGGCGCTCTTTTTCTTTAATCTCCCTCAATGGATTTTGCGTTCGTTCTATGCCCTCCGCCAGACTGCTATGCTTTGTGATATGATCAAGAGAGCTGAAATAGGAAAATGTTTTTATTTATTAATTTAGTGCAGGGGGGTGCAAACTGTGGCTCGCGGGCCAAATGCAGCCCGCGAAGAGCTATTGTGTGGCCCGCGGAGAAGTGCAAACTTTGAATGATGTGCAAGTAAAACGAGTTTTTAGTTTAATTATCTGGTATGTACGAGTAAGTTCAATCACATGCCAGTGCTTGAGTGTCATATTAGCAGAACTAGCTTTTTCTATTGAAAGGTTTCGAATGAAGGTGCGGCCTCACCCAATTACTTAAATCTGGCCCTTCTGCAATAAAGGTTGCACAACCCCTGATTTAGTGTACAAGACCCAAAGAAGAGAAGCGTTACAATACGCACTCCCATCAGCTTATCTTGAGGGAGTAATGAATTGGATAAGGCAATGCCGAATCAGAGAAATCCCAGTTCTGCTAGAAAAAACAGAAGGCTCGGCGTGTGGCGCATCGTGCTAAGCGTTAGGAATACGCTTGCCACAGCATCTCTGATTACACTGCATGGGTACGCAGGTTCATATCCCATGCGATGATAAAAACAAAATAACTGGCTAACGAATCCCATACCCGACATGGTAACCGGATGAGAGGCCGTGGCCACATGATTACCCTTCTTATTGACTCTCTCTTCCCCACGATAACTATCTAAATCCTATCCTAAGCCTATGTATCACTCTCAGCCTTTTCGGCCACAATATTTTATTAGCACTCTTTCAGCTTTTGGTTTAAGACTCGGACCCTGATTTGAGCGAATATTTATGGAAACACAAGAAATACTACCTACCATGAAACAAGCACAATGATAAACCCAGGGTCAGTGTAGAGGTCAAAAGTCAAATCCATTTGTAGATAGAGGAGGGGATCGGGTTCTCTGCAATCTGATTGGACAGTTTGGATTCAATATTGACCAATGGGAACAGGAATTGCAGTTGTTTTCCTTCTAGGATTGTAATCATTGCAGATTTGGTCTGAGATGCTTCTGTAAGATAAGATATGAGAAGAATAATGATAAGAAAATAGGAGTCTTATCAGCTTTCCTCCCCTCCAGGTAACAGCTTGTCATAACAGAGCTGTGAATTTGGCATATTTCGCGTCATTTCTCATAGTCGGAGGCGGGGTTTTCAGTTAACAATTGTAAATAATAAAAGTAAAAGTGCGGTACTCCCGTAGTGTGTGTACCAGGTTAAAGTTAGGCCATGAATTTATTCCGATTTTCCCTATTTCAGTTCTATTACAAGTTGGCCTATTACAAGTCGAGGTCTGTCTGTGTTGGCCAAGTGAATATACCCCCTGCCCATAGGTTTCAGTAACTTTACACAACTCGATGTAAAGTAGGCGAACAAAATTAGTTACCTTCATATTGGTACACACACTTCTGGGAGTGCCGTGGAGCCAGTTTGGCGTCAGACTGGAGTCTGAGAAATTTAGTTGGAGGCGGGGTTTAATTTTTTTTAACAGTCATTCCTACAACCCATGGGCCAAATACGGCTCGTTGGGCAATTCAATCTGGCCCGCCACAACCAAGATAAAACCAAATTTTTTAGCTAAAAAACAGCTCAAGGAATTTGTTGAGATCGCCATTAAATTTAGTTTTGGCAGGACGAGGCTCATTGTTTTCCACTTTTGCTTTTGTAACACTGTAAGTATTGTTTATAAAATGCCCGCCAGTCTAAGTGGGCACAATGTTTGGCCCGTGGTTGCCCACCTCGGGTATGAAGCCTTATAATACAAAAATCTAATATACCTGGGAGCATTTTGATCATGTCGATCTTACTTTCTTCAAACGCACGAGTGATCCAATCTTCACCCATGACCTTTGTTGAAGGGTCAACAGGAAGAGACAAAAAATGGTAGCCTCCGACCAGCATCTCTCCAAGATTCGACAAAGCCAAAAGCTCGAATATTACTACTTTTGAGAGATAGTTCCCCATCGAGGATTTTATCAGAGGGATTTCTGACTCGAGATCTGAGATTTTTTTCAATGTTGTCTGCATACCCTGTGTATTAAAAAATGTTTAAATTGGAGTATTTACGAGGCACTGTTACTCAGAATAAGGCTCCAAAAAAGCAGTCACAGATATATAAATAACAATTGGGGTTACGTGAAACTAACTAGGTACCTTTCCTTGCTCTATGTGCCTTTGGGCTAGTGGAATCGTATGCGTATAACGCAAGAATGCTAAGAGTGAGAGTCTTGTTGCAGATATATAAGCTACTATTTTCCTAGTGTATATAACTTTAGCCACTGATAGTGAGGACTTCTAAGGAACTACCATTTTCGGAAGGACTTAATCCTTTCCAATGTCGTATAGCCTATATATTTTATTATACCCTTGGTAAGGTGGATGGTTTTCAAATCATTCAGATCATACCTCTGGACAACTATTACGAAATCATATAAATTTGTAAAAAAATTACGAAATCTTATAATCTGGACATATGGTGGATGAAGCTACAACACATCTGGTTACCACTCCATGTCCGGTATAGGATTAATTAGCCGGTTATTTGTTTTGTAAGTATGGACTTGATGGTGGACAAAGCTGTAATCAACCAGTCTCTATGTCAGTGGTTCATAAACTTTTTCGAGCGCGACCCAAATCTGAGTTTTATGAATACTCGTGACCCAATCCTAAAAAACGCAAAATGTGTTTTTAATGTTAGTACAGTTTGACTAAAATACAGAAAACTATTTATTAGAAACAGTCCGTTGACTCAGTGAGATTGATGAAACTGAAATTTCTTTTTCATTATATCTTCAATACACAGCTTTATTTTACTGAGCACAATACGCAAGTTGTCACGGGAATCGAGGCGATTGCAAGCTTAGTTTTAATAACCGTCAGTGCCAAAAATCCTCGCTCGCACAAGTGCCTTGTCGCAAATTGTAGCAGAAACGTCGTCCGCTGTCCGTCACAAACACAACATCCTAGCTGGACTTCGGTAACTCTCGCAATATACAACTTTTCACTCATCAAATGTGCACACACTGCTTCTTTCGCGGTAAATGGTGCCTCGAGATGAAGTCACATTTTCTCTAGATATTGAATAATCTAATGTTGAGAAGCGAGCTTTTACATTGCGTCTATTACAATTTTCATTACCATAAAGACACCCATTTTTGGTTATTTTAATCCACTAAGAAATAATACACGTGACTGGCATATCAGAATTGTGATGTAACAATGAGCTCAAGACAGTTCTCTGCGTGAATGAAATTTTATGTTCCAATATTTTTAAATACCAGAGTTTAGAAGCTAAATTGAAACATTGGGAACACTGAAAATTCGCCCTTCTCCTCTTAGATTGCCCATGCATTGACGATCTTATCGCGACCCATTTTTAGACCTTCCGTGACCCTTGGGTCAGAAACGGGAGACAGAAATGCAGACTTTCAATAGTAATAAAACGAGGCAAACGACCTATCAGTCTATTCAGGAAGACTTGCATGCCATACACCAGGGGTGTACATCATTTTGTTGGCGGGCTGTAAGTTCTAACTAGGCCATCCAAAAAATTAGTTTTTTCATGTACACAAGGAATTGAAAAGTCCTCACAATGGCTTCAGTTTAGCCTCACAGTAAAAAATGTGTCATAAGTGTCATTTGAAAAGAACATCATACCTGCAGGGTAGCATTGTCAATAGCATGTTAGAACGGAGCCTGCATCAATGTTGGTCTCATGTATAGTGAGAGAAGGATGCCTCTGGTTTTGTGCCGAACGATGCCGTGAAGGGAGTCTTTGAAATTGGATGATTTCTGCAAAAAACATTGTTTTATAATTATTTGGAATATCGGTTGACCGACGCTATACTTTGGCAAGCTCTATTTCATGATTCTGACGTGCAGTGGTGTAATTTTTGTATGATGTAGTCAGGTGGGGGTTAGGAATGATTATTGGGGTGAGACACTACCCGAGACCCAGGGGGCAATTAAGAAACTTTTTTAATATGACGCTAATAAGACAACATTTTATCCAGAATAGTAGAATATAGTTATACAATTGATGACCTTCATGGCAGTACCTATGATATATCCTCACCCCTAAAATGATGAATCTATAAATATGCGAATATAACCCGACCCTACAAACCGTAACTAGCTGTACGCACTTATCACAGCAAATGGTTGCAGAAGAGAATTAATGAAAATGATAATCATTAATGTTATGTTTTACTTTATTAATATTATTCAATCCTCGAAATTCATCCTCGCCATACTTGTCAATCATTTAAGCAGAATTTTCAGTGGTATTCGATTGAATTGGCAACATGCCACCCCACAGTTTGGCAACCTTTTTTTCAAGTTTTAAACTCTGCTTATATGCGAGGGTATATGATACTTAAATATATATTCAATATTAAATATATTCAGAACAGTAGAATATTTGGTTACAGTCCTTTCTGAAGTATGCACTTATTCCACCAAAATTTCATAACTTGGAGATTTGGCTACTGCTTGTACCGGTGTCTTCAATCCTTTACTTACTGCCCCTACCTTGGGTGAATTGGACGATAGGTTGGGGGTAAGGTCTTGATTGTGGGGGCTCAGTTTGGGGGCTCGGGATTGCTGTTCAGAGCTGTGAATACTGGGGGCTTCCTGGGTCTAGTGCAGTGGTCGGCAACCACCGGGCCGCAGCCCATCGCCGGTTCGCGGAAAAGTTACTGCCGGTTCGCAGAGAGGTCACACAAAAACAGACAAGGCTGTAATAAAATCTCTACAATCTAACTACAAACCCTATGAGACTAAAAACAGCACCCAACAGCAAACACGACACTTTTGAGCATCATGTTTGACTTCACAAACAATTGCCATGTCAGCATGTGGCAGTAATGCCCGATCAATTGTTTTCTCTATCACGCGTATAAGAATGTCTCTCATCGGTCGAATAAAATCTTTCCAACAAAATGATTCTCGCTGAAAACATGATTACTCCGCTATTGGCTCGAAGCTAACCGGTCGTACCTAGTCAGTGCTAATTCTATACTTCAGAATCAGGATAATCATAAAGTTAGCACTTCGGGTGAAAAAATTAGTTTTGGAAAAACAAACATCAATCAATGCCCAGACTAAGGTCGGAAGGTTTACATGCATTGTAACCTTTCTCGAAATCTTATTATTGTGATGCCTGGTTTTCAATGTTGACAACTACAAAAACGAAATATCGAAGTAGGCGAGATGCAAGAAACACGTTACATGTGTTAATGACTACCACATCTCCAACGTGGGAACTGTTAATGGTCAGCAAACACATACAGATATCGCATTAAATAGAATGGCCATCGTTTCTAGTATATTGTCAACATAAATTTCCTAATGCGTATAATTTATTGCATTAGCTTAGTTCGTTTGTATAAAAATGGTCCGCCAAAATGTTGGTCAGGCATTACCGGGCCATCACTTGAAAAAGGTTGCCGACAACTGGTCTAGTGGATGCCTTACCGGTACCGTTTCGTTGAGAATGAATAAGCTTAATAAAATAGCTAACTATCAAACTGAATTAAAGCTTGTGCAACATCTAGACAGAATAGCATATTTATCCCAAGAAAGAGGAAAACTAATAAAAGGGCTTAACCATATGAAGAACCACGGCATCTTGTCCGTTTACCAGTCTATGTCAGGTATGGGATTAGTCAGCCACCTATTTGTTTTCAAGTTCATGGACAAATACGCTCGCTAATGAGCCACTGATTACCCAGCGTGTGTTACCATGTATAATTAATGGTATTCCCGTAGTATGTGAACCAAGATGGCGGACGCCGGAACGTGGTTGGTTGTACCAGGTTAGGGTTGGGCCATAATTTCAGATCAAATACTACAGGAGTCACTTGGCTAGTCCCCAAATTTGTAATAGAACTAAAATAAGGAAAATGGGAATAATATTATGGCCTAACCCTGACCTGGTACACACACTACGTTCCAGTGTCCGCCATCTCGGTTCACATACTTCGGAAGTACCGAATTAATTGTGTGCGAGGGGAATGCTGGACTCAATGTCATGGGCTTTTCACCATCCTTTCGGCTTTCCTCATTTCCCGGAAAAAATATGTAAATCCTATCCTATTCCTTACTTACCTATATTTTGATTCTGAGCAGCTGCCATTTCCATCTTCTGTTGCTTTTGTTTCTGGAATAGAGGTGGAATTTCTTTTGCTGATTTTGGAAAAGAAAGAATTCCATATTTATCTCAAGAAAATTGAGAGAAAAGTACTAATTCTGCTTTTAGTTGTGGGTTATAAACCTTCCTTAGACCTAACTAGAAAAGAAATGTTTATTAAATTTGAAACTGGCATAGCGAATACCATAACCAAATTTACTCCTGCAGAACCGAGCGTCCAACTTAAGAAAGCACATAGACACTTCTCAGCTGGTTGGTCATATTTTCAGTGACCTGAACTTATGACATCACAGAAAGTAAAAAAGAAACTTAACTATGACTGTGATCATGCTCAGCTATCTGGGGAAACACCAGTTGCCAGAAATACAAAATGAAAATATATTTGATAGCGAAACCTCGCTTCAAGCTAACTTGTGTTGTAAAAAAAACTAGAAATCTTAACATTAAATTGTCACTCTGATCAGATTTGTGATTCCCTTGTTTCTCAGACGAATCCCTTTGAGGTGTGTGAGAATCTTGATTACACTGAGAAAGTTGGGGGCCACTGGGGTCATGCATGGGGCTATAGTACCCAGGGCTCATTTGAGCAGGCCTAGGGGGCCGGTACATGGGGTTTGGAGCAGTTGGGTAGTCCTTATACATCTGCAGTGGTGGTGCGAACCTTGCTCGCTGGCCTGGATACATGGGTCTCGTAGGGGGTTAACTCGGGGCCAAATTAGGGGTGGGTTTTGGGGCAGCCGGACGCATTGGTTGAGGTTTGATTGGCCCAAAGAAATCAAAACCCTGTGAATTGCTTGTCTTGTCACTGGAGGTAGCATTGATCACTGAAGGTGGTGAAGTCCCAGAAAAACCACCTCAAATGAAAAAAAATTGATTTGATAACACTTATTTATCACTATAACACTATTAGTAAAGAAATAGTCAAATTTTGAGGCTAAAATGTCATATTTCAAAAAATTCTGAAATAAGGTAATACTGCCGATATTGCGTGTTTGCCGATATATCATATCGGCCGTAAACCGCTGATATATATCGGCCATACTCGGCAAGCGCCGGGCTGTGTACTGCAAAGATCTCGCCCCTGCGTAACTGGTTTTCCAATATTTCGAAGGATTTTTCACTTTGTTGAGCATGAATTGTTTGAACATAATGGGATTTGGAATCTACCAATCAGAATAACACTATAAATACCACTGGAATGATAAACAGGGGCCTTGAGTACTAAAATCCTCTGAAGGGGGCCACGAGGCCTAAAAGGTTGGAAACCACTGCTATACAGCCATTATACGGCTCATTGGAAAGCCCCCTCCCTATAATGAATATTTTACATGATTAGGCATTAAATTTCTATATCAAAAGCCAGCGCAAATATTCTTTACACTTTTTGAACAACCAACATCTTTTTCTGACGCTAAATGTTTGATACATTGCCACAATTTGAATTATTTTACATTCCATAATTCAAAATTTTTTAATAGATTGAGATTTAAACATTCCAAATGATAACTAATCTGATTTTTCATAAATTTATCACTGTAGTGTTGAACTTTGAACTTCCACAAAATTTATAAAACTCACTACAAAGCATAAAAAGACTAAAAAATTGGTATCAAAAAGCAGAAATAGTTCTCGGGAAAATGGTAGACTAACGGAACTCACAAACTATGCCAGACAAAAACAATAATAATTACAAGGTGGTTTTCAAAAATTGGAAGAGAAGTTTATTTACAATATAGTGCATTGTAGTATTTTTGTTCATTTGTGATTCAACTATAGTTTTTGTTTTTTTCACAATATTTGTTTTGTGACATCACAAACCAACATTAATTGATTCTCTACCAATAGTACTGCACAAAATAGCGTGACATCATACTGCCTGATTGTTACATCACATTGGTTGATTATGACATCATAAGTGCTGATTATGACACAACAAACTCAAACATTATTTGTCTTCTTCGTCATCTGTTTCAGCTTCACGAAGCTAAGCCAGCCATTTGTTCACCTGAAAACAGAAATTCAATGTTTGAAGTTTTATCAAAATGAAGCCTTCAACCAAAAGTGGAGGATTGAACAAAATTGCATGCCATGGCATATGTAACAGAAGACTCCGATCCGATACATACAATGGCTATCACGTATGTGACAAAAACAAGGCACCAACCTGGCACACTACGGCATGTACCAAAAAGATAAGCACTGAACTGAAACAAACCATGGCATATGCAACCAACCTGGCAAACACCATGCCACAAACGTGACAGACCATGGCATATCTCAAATACAAGGCATCGATCAGACACACGATGGCATACATCTAAAAAACTGAAATGTTTCAAAAAGCAATACACCAACCGCACTAAAACCATGGCATATGTCAAATAAAACAGGGCACCAACTCAATAAAACTGATGGTACATGCCAAAAAACTAGGCACTGACGGGCCTAAACAAAGATGCACTAAGACATGTGTTCAAAAAAACGAAGCAAATACAAGGTACCAAACAATGCCTTCACCTTTCCACAGTACTGTTCATTAACATCTTCCCTCCACGCATAGTAAGTCTCCCATCAACAACATCTTCTTCATACAAACCATTGAACAATCTGAGCAGAAGACCTGAAATCACAAGAAGAGGTTTCAGTTAAAGTAGGGATACCATATAGGGATCTGTGATTTTTCAACTTTGAATTTACTGATTTTACATAAGAGGCCTACATTTAAAACCATCCCGGCTGTCTTCATTGACCATATTGTCATCGTGTGTTCATGCGCTGTCTGTCTAAATATCGGTTTCAGTTTGAAAAATAGAAAGGAATTTACATTAACGTTAAGCACCCTTCTGGCATACGGAGCTTACGCGTAACAAATTGTAGCAATAATCCGCTAACAATAAACTATGCATCCACCTTCAGTAAGTAGGCTATCGGTACGCTACACAGCAACAACAGTATCGAGAACATGATAATTGGTGAATGTCTGTGTATTAAGTCGGCTGCAGTGACAAGACGCTAAAACGTGGGACTGTCCCGCCTAAAACACAACGTATGGTAAGCCTAAGTTAAAGGCTTCTCAAACTGGGCCCTCAACCCTCTATACAGGGTCACAGATTAATTCATCTGGCATACTTTTACTTTAATAGTGAGGTCACAAAGAACTACACTTCTTTGGAACCTGTAACCACAAGAAAAGGTCTCAGTTCAGGGCTTCTCAAACTGAGCACAAATTAATTCCTCTGGGGAAATAAACAAATGCCTTCACTGGGCCTCAAACTTTTACTTTCGCTTTTATATAATAATGGGGGCCACTAAGTGCTATGAATTTTTGGGGGCTAAAACATGAAAATTGTCCAGCATAAGAAGACTAATTGAGGGTAACTCTTTGATCAAGGCTGAGGGGAAACATGTGACAGAAAATCACAAGAAGATGTTTTAGTTTACATTACTTAGTTCTGAACAAATATTAACTAAAAATAGTAAATAAATAAAGCATCATACGAGAAAATTGAGACACAAAAGCGATTATTTAGACGCTGATGGTAGGCAGGTAGCGATAGAGTAGTGGGTGGAGTTTCAGAATTGTAATCTGTATATCTTGTGTTCGAAACTGAGCCTTACCTTGTATAATATGTGTTGTAAATACTGTGTTATAAATATATATATATGTGTGTGTGCTTAAAAATGTTCGTAACTGTGTTGTAAATATATATATATATGTGTGTGTGCTTAAAAATGTTTGTAACTGTGCCTTGTAAAAGGTGTGTCGTAAAATACTGGTATATATGTGTATGGTATATATGTATGTGTATGGTATATATGTGTTGTAAATACTGTGTTATAAATATATATGTGTGTGTGCTTAAAAATGTTCATAACTGTGCCTTGTTGTATAATGTGTCGTAAAATACTGGTATATATACTGTTGTGTTTTTTTTTTTAACCCCGCATGGTTCGAATTTGGCGGGGGATAATTACTGCGGGAGGATTGCTGGTATGGGCTTACCATACGTCCGCTTTAGGCGGAACAGTCCTGCTTTTTCGCGTCTTGTCCCACCGTTCGGACAAGTCTGTCAAAAGTCCCTTTGACATTCAGCCATGCAGTATAATACACGAACATGTTCTCGTTACTGTTGCTTCTGTGTAGCGCTAGCCTACTTTCTGAAGGTGGATGCGTTTGTTTTCCGCTAACATCGTTAGAAAACGTATCGCATGTAAAACCAATTAGTCTAATTTCGAACCATTTGTACCGACCGGTTGTCTTTAGAGGCATCCCACTTTGAAGTCACAAAAATATGGTATCCCGACATGGACTGGTACGACTGGGTTGGTACGACTGGGTATAGTACATCATACGACTAGACAGTCTTATCGGCTTCTTTCTCTCCAGGGATAAATACGGTATGTAAATCCTATCCTTAGTATCTGTGTGCTCTTGTCGGCGATAGCAAAATAAACTATGTCCATGTGTATGTCTCGATTCTCGAAATAGGCTGCAGTCGGTAACAAAAAACAGTGCTAGGCTAAAGAAACTTCATTTCATCATTTAATTCAAAATCACCAAAAAATTACACAAAAACAAAAAAAGTGAATAGAAGTGTTGGAACAACAAATAAACAAATTACTAACAAAATTAGCGCTGTAAGCATCCCATGTACACTAAGTAGAATACTGACGTCATGTTGAGTTTCTTTTTACTTTTATAGTTGGAGGTTGAAGTTTGACCGAAAGCATTCACTGGAGATGACCTTGGTTCCATGTGATGACTCAAATAGTTAAGAAAATACACAGAAAGTTGAATAAGTTGGCGCGGCTGTGTGGCTCAACGGGCTAAGCGTTAGGAATACGCTCGCCACCGCACCTCTAATCACTCTGCGTGGGTTCGCAGGTTCGAATTCCATGCAGGGATGATTATGTGCGAGAGGATTGCTGGACTCCTCGCCGTCGTTGGGTGGTTCACGTAACCGCTGGTCGGTTACGGCTTCCTCCGCCACCAAGTCCATGCTTCCGAAAACAAACAATACAGTGAAACTAATCCCATACCCGACTTGGAATGGTAACCGGACGAGAGGCCGTGATTCGCCATATGGACAAGCCGTCCCATCAGCTTTCCTCTCCCCCGGGATAAATATGTAAATCCTATCCTATCCTATAAAAGAACTTACATATTTTCACAAGGGATTCATTAATACTAGGTTAATTTTCTTTCATAAAAGGGCTCTTAATAAGCTGCCCTATATGTTTATAATAACACAGAAAAATTAGACTCCAAGGAATACTTGTGTTAGAATTTTGCTTAGAGTGTATAATGAGTCGGTTTGGGCAATTGAAAAAACTCAATTAATCACTATTCAAATATCACTGTTTGACGTTATCGCACCTCTCAATATCCCTTGTAGGTTCACATCCCATTGGGGTTAATTACGTGCATTGCAGACTCCTGATTTAGCACATTCGTTACTCTCAAAATTTGCCAAATTCATCCACATACTTTCACATTCTCTTGGCTCGGACGTGTTTCGAGTATCCATTACATTGAACTAAATATAATGATTAAAAAGGATATCTTTCTCTGTAAGTTTTTTTCTTTTTAATTGTCATTCCAGCAGAAGATGTTGAAGGAGTGTTGTTGTTCAGTCTTGCTAGTTCACCAACTTCGGGTGTATTCTGTAATGAAAAAAGTCAAGTGTGTGTACCAATATGAAGGTAACTAATTTTGTTCGGCTACTTTACATCGAGTTGTGTGAAGTTACTGAAACCTATGGGCAGGGGGTATATTCACTTGGCTAACACAGACAGCCCCCAAACTCTTAATAGAACTAAAATAAGGAAAATTGGAATGAAATTTTGGTCTAAAAAGCGATCCCATCTCCAGGAATGTTTCTTATTATAAGAAAAAGTCTGTTATATTTTATTGTTCCATACTCGATTTATTTAAGCCAGTCTGTCTTTTTTCTGCACAGCAGTGAAGAGGGGAGCTGTAATAAATTGTTCAGCCCAAATTGCACTCTTTAATTTAGCTATATTTTGTCTCAGATGGCTGCACAGCGGTGCTGGGGTGGGTCGAACTATCCAACAATTTATTGAAGACTCAAAGTGACTGGCTAACAAAATTATGTTGAAAGTTCAAAACTAGTTTCAATTGAAGATTTAGACTGTGACATTAGAAGTCTAACAATTCAAAGAAGTTCAAACTCTGTAAAATCAAAATAACTCTTTAAAACCATGAGTGGTGTAAACGCCATTGGGCTTTGAAAATTCTCTGAAACTCACTTTCCTGCCACTTTCTTTTGTTGCTTTAGGAAAACTATCAAAGTCAGGTAAAGACAGGTCAGCAGTGTTCACTATTAGCGCACTTTTTTGCGAAAATTGCGAAGCACTTTCTCAACTTTTTTTAGGGACTGCGAAATAGCACTTTTTTCCGATTTTGAAGAGAAATAGCACTTTTTTCCGATTTTGAATGGAATAAAAATTCAAAGTTAACAAATATTTTCGAGTATTAAATTGACAAATAAGTAACATACTGGTACTTTTGTAACTCAATTCTGCATATCATAACGATATTTACCGGAATTCTAACCTATGAGATGCAGACATAGGAGATAAAGCTTTTGCATTAACGGCAAAATTCTTGTTTATAATATGATTATTATACAAGCACACGGATTCCGCTTCTCCCGGGGCGTTTCTTTGAACGAGAGTGGTCATGTGACTATCAATGATATCGATGAATTCAAAATGACTATAAAAAGTGTTAGTAACGTGTTATAGTCACTTTGGATGAATTGTGACCAAACTGCACGATTTTGAAATCAGACGAAACTTTTAGCTGCATGTCACAGATTTGCAAAATCAACAAATTCACAAAATACCATTAAGTGCCATTTTATTGTAATCACAATGTTGAAAGGACGTGGCATTTTCCGGAATTTTGCGATATTTACACAACTATTTCTCATTGATATGCGAGGAGGGGTGGGCAAAATTCAATATTTTTTTAAATCGAATATTTTTAAGGAGTACCGAATAAACGTGGTGGAAACATTGAAAAATCGGCAACAAAGCCTTTTTACTGGTTAATTTCGTTGTAATCGCTGATTGTTCTTGTCACCGATCGTTTTGGCGGCGATATCCAGGTTTTGGGTAATCTATATTCCCGCCCTCTCTTTTTTACAAATATATATATGAATTCTTGTGGGTCGGCGGACATCGAAGTTTTATATTTCGTGTTTACCCGTTCGTTCACATCGGCAACAAATTAACATTTGCGCTGGCTTTAATATTACCTATCAAGATTTGTAAATTTACCGTCCCAATTTTATGCGCATGGTAATATTATTGTCCATACCGTGATGCAGATATTTATTAAGACGATAATTAACGATTGATAATGTATTTCTATGGTGATAAACTTCGCAAATCTGAAATTGTGCCAATCCTGAATGTTGATTTGAAATAGTGATTGAATAATTCGGCTATAAAGGCATTTCTGCGTGGTCATAAGACGAGATGACGTTAATGAACAGCACTTCTTTTACAGGATATTTTACGTATGCGACTTAATGCTAAAAAGATTGGGCTCGAGTGCTTTTTTTTTCGAGTGCTCGAGTGCCTAATAGAGGGAGGTCAGGCGCTAATTGTAACTAATTCCCTCAAGTTTCAACGTGTTTACAACAAAACAATACCCCGGCGATAATTATAGCTAAAATGTTACCGAGCAATTCACAATTTTATTTATGGAATTTGCAAATTCACCTGTTTCTTGACGATTTTGATATTGTCCCGCCCTAAATATTAGTGCAAAAAATACTCCCCTTGTTCCGCGGCGGTTTGACGGGTTCTCTGTTCCATTCTTCAGAAAGTTCTGACACGGGGGATATAGAATACTGAATCCGGAGGGTTGGATCCCTGTCCACTTACTGGTGATTTTCCGTTTTGAAATGCGTGAAACATTCTCTATTTTAAATTAAATGACGTTTCGCGGGCTAGAGTTCTCCCCGAAAATGATGTGTTCCAGACGTTAGTTAGACGATAGATAAAACATTGAATTAATAATTTTCGTGACGCCCCGTTTTCGAAAATACAAAGTTATATCGCGTTATGCGTTATGATACATTTGGAATGAAACATTATTTACGGTGAATTCAGATCACATTTTACTCTCCATGACACCCGGTATCCGAAAATACAGTTGTATCTCGAAAAATGTGTTTTGTTACATTTAAAAAAAAACATTTTTGCGATTAATTTAGATCATATTTTGCTTTTCACGACACCCTATTCCGAAAATACAAGGTTATATCGCGAAAATGTGTTTTGTTACATTTAAAATAAAACATTTTTGCGATTAATTTAGATCATATTTTACTTTTCAGGACACCCGTTTTCGAAAATACAAGGTTATATCGCAAAATGTGTTTTGTTACATTTAAAATAAAACATTTTTGCAATTAATTTAGATCAAATTTTACCTTTCACGGCAACCCGTTTCCGAAAATACAAAGTTATATCACAAAAAATGCGTTTTGTGACATTTATTTTGCATTCCCAATAAAATACATATTTTCCCTAATTAAGTTCGTCGATGAATCTGTTCCTGTCGTTCAAGCTCGACACACATTTCGACGAGTGTGGGGCGGTTTTTTGATCGACGATAAATTAAAAAGTTGCCACACGTTATTTGTATAACGATAATAACTGAAAATTAAGATTTTATAATAGAAGTGAATTTGTCTCAAGATGGTATTTTACGATTCCTGCCCACAGAAAATAAACACGCTGACAGGCTTGGTTATAATTGATATTCGTTTAATTTATTTTACACTATTAATAAACGCGCCACACCAATTGCGACCATATAAATTGCAGTCGCATCGGTATGGACTGTATGTTTTTGGCGCTCGCAAATTAATAATAATTTTCAACAACAATTTGTTTACAATTTTAACATCCCGCCGGCCATATATGGTCGAATAAAATGTTCACATATTCGAAACATGACTTGGCCAAGGATGGAAGGGATCACTAAAGAGCTAATAGAAAGTACATACGCGAGGGTATGATATTAATATCGAGAATATTTGTGAGCATATCACAGGACGGAAATATTTTGCACCCAGCTGTTTGTTGGCAGAACAACGATACGCTAAAGTTAATTGATCGAATACAGGGAAGTATTTATTTATCATCTCACTTGCGAACATCGAGGTTTTGGCGGAATTGTACGATCATGTTGTCTTTCTTAAATAATAACTTTTTCAATAAATGTTCATTTTACTTTTGCGTCTTTATTATATGTCTGGTTTTCATTTATTTTAAATTCGAAATTGTCCGAAATACTCCAACAGGTGTATAGGTACAATAATAATAGTACTTACCAAAGTACCTACCAGGGAAGTTTAATACACAGATGTGTAAAGGGCGTCGTAACTCCCGTTTATTAATTATAAATTTTTTTACATTCTGCTTAAAAAACAACGGCAGTCATCTCACGTAACTCTCGCGACCAAATCTTTTTTGTTTTGTATGGCATCGTCTTGGCGACGAATTTATTGCCGACTGAATTTTAATTGTGTTTTAGGTTAGTTATTTTCTGTTTGTTGGTTTCTAAACTTTACAAACTTGGGTAGCAATTACTATTAATGTGAGATTTGTGCATGTGGTCGAATAAAAATTATTTATCAAATGGCTTGGTATTTCGAGACACTCTCAAAATTATTTGGGATCCATTATCATATCATTCGTTTATTTTTTATATTCATGTTTTTCTCAAGAATCACCCTCGTTATATTTAGTGTACCTTCGCAAAAGAAAACTCTTTGATGTCATCGTTCCTATTAGTGTAATTGAAATATATGGAAACCTCGCAAGTGGCGTTGTGATGCGAATATTTGATACTAGGTCAGCAGCATTACAAAGAGTGCTATTTATGAATGCTGAAAGTACATGACATTACTAAACATTTTGCCAATATATGATGTTTTCTGCCCGATTTAAACTAACTCGCACGCAAACCAAGGCATGTGGACATTTAAAAATTACTTGTCTTTGGGTAAGCTCTGAAATAGTATAATATTAATGTAAATGAGAAATTAGGTCACGCTAGCTCACGAAACGGGAGGATTTTCAAAGTGATCTTGTGTAATATTTCGGAGAAAAAAGTTTGAAAGGAAAGTAGGTCAACCTATCTCCTAAAACAGGGGAGTATCCTGCGTAATATTTCGGAGGGAACGTAGGTTAACCTATCTTTTAAAACAGCGGGTGGCGACTTTCAAAGTGGTTCAAAATAACAAATTAATAATTATCAGATTAGGTTTGGGGATGAATCGAAAAGTTGAATTTCCAGCGCACCTAACCCTAATTCGTTGATTGCTATTTATATTTGGGGGGGGGGGGGGGATTATTTTGCACCGGATTTGTACAAACGATCCACCCTGTAACTGATATGGTTTCCAGCCGGCCTCCTGTCTGTTAGATGGAAGGAGTAACAAATGTGAAAGTCTTTGCTGTTTACGCGAGTAAGCAACTGACACCGTGATACATTGCATGAAAGTTTTGTGGTGGCAGGTGTTAGCAGATGTCATTTCGTTGCCGATGAATTCGCTTGTTTTAATTAAACATGAATTCGCTTAAAGGGAACTCGGTTAACGAAAAGGCTTCTCTTTAATTCATAATATTAACCGGAGGAGCGCTTTTTCGAATATGTATGCCGTTTTAAATGGGTTATATGAAAGGCTAGGGCACCTAACTTGTTAAAATCGGCAAAAGCACTTTCGCACTTTTTTTTTGGACTGCGAAGCACTTTCGCACTCATAATTTGCTTAGAGTTAACACTGCAGGTCAGTGTCTTCAAAAGGATTAACCTGAAAAACATAAAAAGGCTCTTGTAGCGTAATAGTCATGACACTCGACACAGTGAAAAACCGTCGAAAAATACTAAAAACCTTCCTAAAACGCGCAGGAAAGAAATTTGATTTACATGAAGAATAATGATATAAAGAGTGGTAACTTCACATTGCAGTGCTTTTGTGTGACCAAGTAATCTCTGTAGAAAGCCTCTAACTAAACTCTAAGCTACAATAGGAGGCGAGGAAGTTATCTTCATTTATAACAGAAAAATGGAGCGGAGAAGATGACTGCTAAAACTGTACCGGATTATAGTGATGCAGTATGTGCCGGCAAATGCTTGTTGTCGTGAGTTTTGGAGCAGTCAAGAAAATAGAAATATGTAAATCCTATCCTAGATAAGTGAACCCCACATCACTAAAGCTATTTGGTACAACTTTTGACTATATATCATCACAAAAAAACCAAATTATGTCGAGTAACGTATCGAGAAAATAGCATTTTTGTAATATTCAGATCTCTACAGCTAAACCTAAAAATTCAAATAGAGAACTAACCAAAATCAAAAGTACAGATTTGCAACCCAGTTCAAAAGATGGATCCAAAATGACAGAAGATCAAAGTCCATTTCTGAAAATTTGGTTAATTTTGTTTTATTGTGGCTGATAATATACATAGCACAAGGTAACAACTAAGAATCATATAATGATAGGATAGGATTCCCATACTTATACCAGGAAGGAGGAAAGACAATAGTATATGTCAATTTGTCAAACCACACCTTTTGTCCGATAACCAGTCCCTATTGTGTACGGAATTACTTATCCAGTTATTTGTTTCATATGCATGGACTTGTTGTAGAAAGCCATAACTGACCAGCGGTTACGTGAACCACCCTACAGCGACGACTCCAGAAATCCTCTCATCCAAAATTATACAGGGTAATAATAAAAGGTAGATGGCAAGCGTATTCCCAACAGCCACTATTTAGAATCTTCATATTTATACCTCAAATGTTTTGCTGATATGCGTCGGATCATTCTTTTAGTCTCCCACAATGTCATTGAAAGTGAGATTACATGCTCTTGCAAAACTACATGTCTTTGGTTTTCCACTTGGCCACTCCATTAGGGAGGTCTGTAATATAGAAAGAAATGTAGAATAAAAACTTTGTCGAATAACGAAAATATCAATACTAAATTATGTATATATTATAGTCTTATAGATATGAAGTGTGTCGTCCATAAACCCCCTTTACAATTTCAATTTTTTAATGAAGTCAGTTTCAATATATCTCAACCAGGTATGGTATGGTATCGTATGGCGCGGCGGTGTGGCTCAACGGGCTAAGCGTTAGGAATACGCTCACCACCGCACCTCTAACTACTCTGCGTGGGTTCGCAGGTTCGAATCCCATGCAGGGATGGTTATGTGCGAGAGGATTGCTGGACTCCTCGCCGTCGTTGGGTGGTTCACGTAACCGCTGGTCAGTTACGGCTTCCTCCACCACCAAGTCCATGCTTCCGAAAACAAACAATACAGTAAAATTAATCCCATACCCGACTTGGAATGGTAACCGGACGAGAGGCCGTGGTTCGCCATATGGATAAGCCGTCTTATCGACTTTCCTCTCCCACGGGATAAATATGTAAATCCTATCCTATCCTAATAACCTTTGTAATTTTCAAATTTTTTGGTCAAGTATACGAGGGAGAATACATACAATTGGACAAATGTGGGAGAGAACATTTATTGAAACAATCATGACAGACATATGCATGTGTATTCAGCATCTGTAATTCAGATGCTTCTGTGGATAATTAGCCTGAGTAAAATAGTTCAGAAATGATAAAAAATGTCAAACAGTACTCACATATGTTACTTCGGATCTCACAACTTCAGGACTACTGGCAGAGTCGTTAGATGATGATGAAGTTGAAATATCCTAAAATATGGAAGAATTATCGGTATTAGGTAGGCTATGTTATGAACAAATGATGAAGTCTGAAGAAAAAATTGAGTTGACAAGCAATATCTCGATGTATGCATGAGAATTGAAGTCTAATAGGTTAGGGTTAGGCCACAATTTTATTCCGATTTTCCTTTTTTTAGTTCTATTATGAGTTTGGGGATTGTTTGTGCTAGCCAAGTGAATATACCCCCTGCCCATAGGTTACCGTCCCGTCACACAACTTGGTGTAAAGTAGGCAAAAATTAGTTACCTTCATATTGGTACACATACTTCTGGAGCGCCCATGAAGCAGTTTAAGTCACCACAGAAAACAGCTACGAGGTAGTGAATTCCATAACTAGAGGTCTTGAAGATAATTGTTGGCATAAAAATTTCAGTGTACAGAAGTAACTGAGAGCAAACCTGCATGTTATAGTTGGTGCGTATATAAAGTGGTGACAAATTGGGATTGTCCTTTTTGAGATAAGTCTTAATACGTTTGGGGGATTCGCCCGTTTCCATTTTCCATATATGTTCTTTCAACCAACTCGGGTCAGAGCTGGTACCTGAATAAAGAAGAGTTCTAGTCATAATATGTAATAGGTGGCGTGATGACCTAGTGGTAAAAACTTATGGATCTGAACATATTGTGGTGCAGGGGCAATGGGCAGCCAAGAAATACTACAGGGGCGATGGGCAGCCAAGAAATACTAATTTCAGAGTTAGACTGCAAGTGGATCCGCCTGGTTTTCAAATAGACTTGAGGGTCTTAAATGCTACGAAAAATTGATTAAATACTTTTTTTTACATTTCAAATAGGGGGGAGGGGGGGGGGGGGTTCCGACCCTCGATGCCCTTGTTGTGGTCGCAGGTCGAAGTTCTTGAATTCAATTAATATGGATTCGCAGGTTCTAATTTCATGCGGGAATGATAAAGTGCGAGAGGATTGCTCGACTCTTTGCCGCCGCAGGGTGGTTCACGTAAGCACTGGTCGTTCAGTTACGGCTTCCTCCACCATCAAGTCCATGCTTCCGAAAACAAATAACTGGCTAATCCCATACCGACCTGGACTGGTAATCGGACGAGAGGCCGTGGTTCGCCATATGATTAAGCCGTCTTATCGACTTTCCTCTCCCCCGGGATAAATATGTAAATCCTATCATATTCTATATAACAGAAAGAATTAAGTTGTCTAATTAATTCGACTAAAAACCTGGACTGGGGGGATGATTGGAAGCACATGGCTTGCAACAGAGTCCGATTAAAATTTAAATTAGCATAGGTGTGGAGTTCTATACAGTAACAAATAAAAAGAAACTCACCAGATGTAGAAGATGAATCATCAGAATAGGAATCAAATAATTTTGTCTTCTTTTTGCGTTTAAATTTTTTATTTTTTCCTGCGGAGAAAAAAAATTATCACAAAAGAACAAAAAGTATTTTTAAACTAAATTAACGAATTGGCAAATCCAGTTCAGTTATTCAATTTCTATAAATTTAACCATCTCCTAAACTTATTTTGAGTCGAGGGTCAAGTCTTCTCACCAGTTTGTCAATTCACATAGTCAAAAAACTTTATAGAAATTTTAAATGTCAAGAACTTTCAGAATTAGCTTCATTTTGAGACCAGATTATTGAGAGATCAAACTTTGCCAGTTAAAAAAAATATTTATTCAAACGTTTTTTTTTCAAATTTAAAGCAGGAGTGTGCAGCCTTTAATACGAGAGAGCCAGATACAAATAACTGGGTGAAACTTGTAGACACAAAATTTTGGTTATTGAACTTACGACATGCGTTGTTCGCTTCGAACAAGCTAAATGTTAGGGTGCTGTAACGTCATAGGCATAGATAATGAATTGGACTCAGCTACAGTCTTTGCAATGCAAAGGGATTAAAATTACTCTCACATAACAAATTAGAAAACTCACTTTGCGAATCACATACTATTCAGAATGGGCACTTCTCCGTAGGGCCGCACAACTTTTTATTGCAGGCTGCACACCCCTGATTTAAAGCATCAACCCTAGTTTTATTGACTCGAAAGAACTTTACCTTTCTTTCTAAGTGATATTACCGGCACACCTTTCTTTCTGGGTGATATTATCGGCACCTCGTTCTCTTCACTATTCGAAGCGAAATCATATACATCTGGAGGAACTTTGGGTCTCTCAAAAGAAACTTTAGGTCTCTCCTTTTTCAATATCTATATAGAAAAAAAAAATAACAGAAAACATTGACATTTTTAATAACCTTAATCTAATTTTCTTTCTTTATAAACATGTATGGGCCATTGAATAATCTAAAAATGTTCAGAATAAGAAATCTATACAAAGCTGATGACACTCACTTGCTGAAAACAGATGTATAACACACACAGTGGCGCAACCAGACCGTTTTCAACGGGGGGGTCCGACCGGAATTTATACAGTGCAACCACGACGTAAGTCGCAACGCCACTAGGTGTCGCCCCGTTGAAACACCATAAATTGCTCGTGGTTAAAAGGGAAACGCCATCGATTAAATTCCAGCCTTTCGCTTACCTTGCACTCGTTCATTAACGGCGCTTCGTTATGTCTTGCACCTCGTGGGTAGCAAAACGCCCTTCATTACATTCAAGCGAATTGCTAACGAAAAGCTGTTAATTATTTTCAACGTTTCCCTCGATTTGCGCCTCGTGGATAGTGAAACACGGCTTGAATAAATTCCAGTGTTTCCCTCGTGCCGCGCCTTGCTCGTTGGGTGAATTCGTCAAGACTAAAAACAAAATGCACTTCTTGCGAATGGACCTTTTCCCGACCCTAACCCCAGAAAGATTCTAAACTAAACTGAAGCTCACGAAAGTTGATTTACAACTACTTTTTGGAAACACAACTAAAAACTGACTAATTTAATGCAGGGATGTCCAAATCGAATTTAAATTCAAATATCGCAAACTTCAAATACTGTTTTTTCGTGTTTATAATAATCTAATATGGCGCACATATCCTAGCGTCGTCGTCCATGTGTGGTTCGGCAATATATTATAGCTGACATGAAAGAATTTCGATAAACGACGACTTAAAGAACTTATAAGACTTCGAGGACATTTTTGATTGAAAATATTTTCTTCGTCTTTCAACGTAGTCGAGATGGTTTAGGCGTCCTCGGCAAATTGTGTCTTAATTAGTTGTTTTCATCCTCAGTTTCGATAGTGACCGAACATAACAGGAAATTTTTTCATTTCTTGTAATTTAGCGCGTATAAAATAGCTCTTAAATAGTATTTAATATCTATCGCGGATTTCGTCGGCATCCGGCGTTGATGACAACATCGCTCAGTTTAAGTTACAAACAAAAATAAATAACAGCCGACATGAAATATTCAAATCAGCGCAGAGTTCAAAAATAAAACACGTTTTATGGTCTTAATATGCACATAGAAAGAAAAGACAGAGAAATAACGACTAAAAACTAAGAACGGTATGCTATGTTTGTGTACTTTTGTTTACCATCATCATCATAATCAAATTAGTTAAACCCGATTCCCAAATTTCCGTCGGCCAATAATGGAGAATAAAGATGGAAAACGTGTTTTACTTTTTGAGTCGGCGTTGATTTAAATTTTTCATGTTATGTGTTATAATTTTTTAATTATAACCAATACCTCCAACTTAAAATGAACGATATTGTTATCAACGGCGTCGGGATAACGATAAAATCTCCGATAGAAACCAAATAATATTTAGAAGCTATTTTATAGATTGCAAGAAATTGAAAAATTTCCCGTTAAGTTCGATAACTATCGAAACTGAGGATGAAAACAATTAATTAGGGCAGGATTTGCTTTTAAGTTTATTGCCGAGGCGCACAACATATCTTGACTAAATTGAAATATACGATAACAAATGTAAAAAATTTTCAACCAAAAATGTCCTCGACGTCTTATTAGCACTTCAAGTCGGAGTTTATTGAAAACATTTCACGACGACTGTTAGGTATTGCCGTGCCACACATGGCTGCTTTCGATTGCGATAAAAAATGAAATAATTGTGAAATGTTTTTAAATCAGAACGTGAACGGGGGCGGTAGGATGTGTACGCGTTTTCGGTTTTCGGCCTTTCGTATGTAGAAAATCTTAGGTTAATCGAAGCAATATTTTTCCGAAAATAATATTCGTATCCAGATTTTCAGAATTTCCACTGCATTATTAAAACATGAAGACGGGCGGCGTTACATTGCGGCAAGATGATGAAGCACGAGAGTATTCGTCACAAGAGAGAGAGAGATAGCATTATGCTATTGTCGCTTTCAATTCACATCGACAGCGCGCGATTTCTACTTTTTTGAGGTAACATATCTCATTTTCGAATACAAACATATACGCGGGGATAGCGATTATCACGTAACTAACAGCAAAAAGGTATGATTGAAGTCGGGCGGTGTTAAATTACGCGAAGGTGATAAAGCACTGGAAAAAAGTAGTTTTCACCGGATTGTTATGACCGTCGAACGACGTTGTTTGAACGTAGAACAATAATAAAAAAAAACGAATTTCAAACGGGGGGGACACGACCCCCGTAACCCCCCCGCTGGTTGCGCCACTGAACAAACATGATAAGCAAGTAGTATTTATTAGTGCAAAAATGTTAGAAATATACCGAATGTAATCATTTACGATGATAATAGGCGCAACAATTCGCGTAGGGAATTGAAACGATTCGTTAAGCGCAAAAAGAAAGCAAATAACACCACAACGCAAAGACAACGATTTCTCAAATTTGTCGCTTTTGTCCGCCAGCGAGAGCTGTATGAGCAAAGTGCCGCAGGTCACGTGGTACCGGATATTCGAATAGTAAAATGCCATTCGAATAATTTAATATTCGATTCGCTATTCGTTATTCAAATATTTTGCCCTAATTGACAGTCTCTGTTCTCTATTGACATTCGCCATTTGGAATCCGAGCCGAAAATATGTGAGTTTTCAAAATTAAAAATGATAGAGGTGAAATAACTGGCTCTTGGAAGCCTAGTAAATATTAAAGCAATTTCTGAAAATTATCTATCCAAAGATCCACTCAATGAAGAGTTGTCAATGAGCTTAATGATTCTTGATAACGAAAACAACTTTGTGTTTAAAATGTTCAAAATAAAAATTCATAGACAATCAACGATCACAAATTCCAATCCTGCGGAGGAAACATCAATTACAGTTTGTTTGGTGTCTTGCTTTAAGTCAACGTCTCGTACATACATTAGAAATGAATTAAACGTTTAAATTGAATCATATCTGACCTAGTGACTTATGAGTGCCAAGATTTAATAAATAATTCACCGACATTAGCGCTAGAAATAAGAGACCGGATCCTTCAAAAGTGAATATGTTTATAGGTAACTAATTTTCAGAGGCAAGTGGGAATCGGATTTTTATATTTTCATTTACCTTCTCCGTCCTGAACAAAACTCTGAAAACTGGCAGCCAATAATACAATCACTGCTATTTCAAGCAGAACTGAAATATTTACAGTTTTGATTTGTTCACCTTATCGATATACATGTGGTGGGCTAAGCTGTAGAGTTTACTACGGAAGGCTCTTGGCTAGTCTTCGAACTGATAATAGGACTAAAATAAGGAAAATTAGAAAAAAATTATCGCCTAACCCTAACCTGTTACCCATGTTACGTTCCGATGTCCGCCATCTTGGTTCGCATACGTCGGGAGCACCCCAAAAAAGGCCATCTTTAATGCCATCAATGAATAATATGTGATTTCAACTTCGAGAGTGGTAGCGCATTATTAGAATTCTTAGTTAGGTTTGCCTACCCTGTCTATCACACACCGAATGAGGTTCTAAAAGCACTATATCTACTGAAACTCCATAAGATATCCTACTTTCGGATACGAAAATTGATATTACCTTTCTCGAACTTGCATTTTGACTTGTGACAACAGCAGATAGTACTTGAGATTGGGATTCAGAAGCAATGCTGTCGTTCACTAAAAACAAAATTATAAGCTTAAAGAGCAATTGTTTCTATTTACTGCCCTGATGAAATGGTCTCCATGGTGATGGTGAAGGGGGTGGGGTCGGAACCCTCCACCCACTTTTGAAATGCGAGAAGAAAAGCATTTTTCTGTATCATAGATAGCAATTTTTTGTAGCTTAAAATGATATTTAGACCTTCGAGAGTAAAATTTGACGATTTTCGGCCCCCGGACGAACCCGTAACTGACACAGCCCAACTTCGCAAACAGATATTTCAGAATCCCCGTCCAGAATTGAGAATAATTTAATCGTATTCTCTGTAACAAAGTCACAAAATGCCAGAAGATAGAGTTTGAGTAGAAACAAAAGACTTATCGGAAATTGACAAGAAGGATTATAGTTTGACACAATTCAAGTCATCTGTACTTCCAATGAAACACAAGGTTGGGTTCAACAGAGACAGAGCTTCAACAATAGAATAACAACTTAGCTGACATGGTCAAACAATGGCCCGCAGGCCAAATCCATCCCGTTGAGCAATTCGATCAGGCTTGCCTATTGCTGCCACAACCAAACTAACCAAATTTTGATGTTTCAGCTAAAAAAATAGCTCAAGGAATTTGTTGAGATTGGGATCAAATTTAGTTTGTTTTCCTGTTTTGCTTCTGTAACACTGTAAAAATTGTTCATAAAATGTAACATTTCACTCCACACTTACATGGCTCGCCAGGTGGGTGGGCAACATTTACGGCCAGAATGAACCCCCACACCTGACCATACATAACTTGGTAATCAATAACAAAATAATCCCATACCTACTACAAGATCATTCTTCGATTCTGACTTGCTAGATCTTGGCAAATTCCGTATCATAGAAGCTGAATGAGTTGCTGATGATGCTGGCTGGTTTTCTCCAATCACTTGAGAAGAGATAGATCCTTGATGAGGTTTGCTGGAAGTTGCCGGAGTCTCACGAAAAACTCGTAACAATATACTTGATAGCTTTGATCTTTGAGATCTCTGCGATAGTAGATCAACGAAATCGTTATTGAGTAATCGCTGGCTTCACTGCTACATCAAAGCAATGTTTACAATATTTAAAACAGGTTCTGAATACTTATACGAAATTGACGATCAATCTAGCACTCCCTTCTAGCTTGGTTCAGATTCTGGATTAAAAATTTTGACAGCCACTCCAGCTCTAAACGATTTCATAGTATGATGAAAACTGTTTTAATAAGACTAATGATTCTTGATAATGAAAACAACTTTTTGAAAAAAAAATTCAAATTAAAAATGCACAAACTATTACACTGTGCAATCATAGTTCCATTACATTTGAATCCACGTACATTTGAACCCACGACAATTGCACCTGCATACTATTGCACTTATGGAACTTATTTTATACGAATATTTGAACCCATACTAACCCTAACCCATGGGTTTTAGCACCCGCATATAGATGGAACCCACGGATATACGGGTGCAAATGAATGCTTTGAAATGTACGGTCACCTGCAATCACAGATTCAGATTGTTTTTACCATCGTAACTTGTTATTCAGGCCGTGATACTTGTTATTCAGGCCGTGATCGCCTTTACGTTGGTGTTTATTCTCTCTAATCCACAAATTTGTGCAACGACAACGTCGATAATTATTTTATTTTTGTACCCGCACGGAATTGTGCGTCGTGGTCGTGGTATTATGGAATTAAGATTTTTCAATTTTTCTATCGGCTGTAACGGGTTTGCAATATTGTGCAAATATGTATCAAAATTAAATACATCAGGCGAATTATCTTATATTTTTTATGTCCACAGATCACCATGGTATTTCAGTCTAGAAAAGATTTTATTTTGACGTAAGAAGTCGCAACTGCTAGTTATTCTGGACACAAATAAATTAATACATAAGGACATTTTGGAATCATGGATTGAAAGTTTTACGCGACAGAAAAATCATTATACGGTGGAAAGGCGGCTCTTTTAACGAGCGCAAAAAATCCTGGTTGCGCGCCTGCTGACATGAACTTGTCACCGGAGGAATGGTGTAGTACGCCATATGATTAGGTTGTCTAATCAACTTTGCTCTAGTTTATCCTTACTTCTGATTCCGAAGAAGAAGATGTCTCCAATAACCGCGCTCCTTGACTTTTTCTTTTTTGACATATTTTTACAAGTTGGTCTGGAGACGGTATCAAAACCGGATTCTTAATTAAGCAAATATATTTATAGGTTACTAATTTTAAGGCAAGAGTGAATCGCATATTTATATTTCCCTTCTCTATCCTGAACAAAACTCTGAAAACTGGCAGCCAAAATTACATTGATTGCTGTTTTAGGAAGAACTAAAATATTTACAGTCCCGATTTGTTCACCCTATTGATATACATAAGATAAGGCAATCAGAACCAATAATCTTTGCTCAAAGTAAGCTCATGCACTCGAGACCTGTCTACGCGCTATGGATTATCGCTGAAGGTAGTGATGCATTACAAGCCAACGGATGCCAATTGAAGTCGTTAAATCCAATACCATCACGAAATATTGAAATTATCCAAATACAATTTTTTATAACGTGAAATTCATCTAAAAATTTTATTAGTAGCAGAAAACAGTCCAAATTTCATTCAAAATAAACATACCTTAACCATACAAGTTGGAGCATCTCTGACAGTTTCAATAGGTTCCTCAAACACATGAATCTCTAGTTTTTTCTGTTCAGTTGAACCTCCAGGCTATGAAGAACAGAATTTTTAGGCAAAAAATAACAAGAATAATCAGTAACCATATGATACCGAACGCAAATGGCTACATAAATTTCCAAAAAATTTACTAATTACCATATAAATAATGTTTTATGTGGAAATCACTCCCTAATTGCTGTTTTCTTAGATTGTATTGACATGAACTGCTTCAAGTTTCGCGTCAATCGGTTCTTACACATGATTCTATGCTAAATAATTTAAGTAACTGCGGTCACAGCGAAATTTCTCATGAAAAATCCCATTCACTACCAGTTATTACAATTCATATTTGATCACTATTAGCCTTATAGACTTTTAATGAGCCTAGTAGTTCATACAATATTTGTTTTGGGTAGTCTTTTCCAGTATATTTCAACCAGCAAAATCATAAACGAGAATATCGGTTGAGAACCGAAGACTTATCGATCGATAGTTAGGGGATCCCCCAAAACAGAAACTGCAGTTTCGATTCATCCGCTCTTGCGCACTGTGTATCGCACACACACACTCTGCGGGTCTCAAAATTCTCTCGCTTTACAAAAATCTAGATCACTATATCAATAATTGATTGATAACTCGCTAATTATACGACATAATTCGCCCAAAATCAATAGGCTTCTGGTCCGAGATAAGATGAATGCACATGCAAAATCTGGAGCAGATTCAATCTCGCTTTCGTGAGATATCGCGTGCATCTAACAGACAAACGGACAAATACCTATCAAAATACTTACCTATCAACAATCGATAAGTAACAATATATAGGAGGGTTAGCACACAGATTTACTTAGGAAGGGAAACCATCGGAAACAAAAGCAGAAAAGGCATTTCTGGGTGGAGGACCAATATTGCTTATCGAGCCACGACACCCATATATATTTTGGGCTACCTGATAGTTTATAATAAAATGAAATTTTCGAATTTAAAATGTTTCTATCAATATAACAATAGTTCGCATAAGAATCCTGTTCTGAGCAAAGATGAGAATGCAAAATATGGCAACACATAATTAACTCACTATAATATTATTCTTAGCTCTTGTTCTCTTTCCCTTGCTGACTTTCTTTTCATTACCAATCGGAGTCAAAAACTTATTTGAACTTATTCATATAGTAACTGCTGTAAAGTAGGTAGTAGTAGTCTTGTGAACACATGCTTAAAATCTCAAGTTTCAACGCCTCGTCCCTGGCACTCTGGCAGTACTCAATGTAGGACTAAAAAAGTATAAAGTAGCTAATCAATGCAACGTACACCCAATTTGAAGAATAGTAAGTAGGCTCATTACAGCAAGTTACAGCAATCACTGAATTTTCATGAGTCATTGAAACTACTAAACTCTGGAGTTGAATCAACCAACGAGCTATGTCTCACTGGGAGTTAGCTAGTAACTAGCTAATAAATGGGATCCTAGGCTTGCCAACAACGGATGCATAACATGCCACGAATGCCGCTAAAACTTGGAATATATATCTTGTTCTTACTTTCATAAAGATTCCCACCGGAAAATATTCTAGAAGTTATTAAATGTCAAGCTCCTTACGGGTAAAATGGGGTCGTGACCAAGTAAATCCTACTTATTTCTATCATTAGGATGTCATTAGTTTAGTTACAATATTATATAAATAAATGTGTTTGTTGAACCCACAGCAGAATACAACATTGCTGGGGTTGGACCTATTAAATGTTTCCAGTTGACCAATTAAATGAGCTTAAATGAGAGAGGAAAGTCGATAAGACGGCTTAACCATATGGCGAACCACGGCCTCTCGTCCGGTTACCATTCCATGTCGATATTTTTGTTTTTCCTAAGCATGGATATGATGGTTGAGGAAGCCGTAACTGACCAGCGGTTACGTGAACCACCCAACAACGGCGAGGAGTCCAGCAATCCTCTCGCACATAACTAACCCGCATGGGATTCGAACCTGTGAACCCACGCAGAGTAATCAGAGATGCGGTGGCGAGCGTATTCCTAACGCTCAGCACGATGAGCCATACCGCCCCGCTGATCCAACTGAATATCAGCATATTAAAAACAAACTGTATTAGGGTCATAGGTTAAAATGCAGCCACTTCAAACAGCATTGGGTAGGGTAGGTGAAGAACAAACTGTAAAAATTTGCGGCGTTTCAAAAGCATTATAGTTCCTACAATTCCTTTAAGGCTTGCCTAGAGCCTTGTTATATTCAAAGTGAATGACAAAAACAAGCATCCTCACCTGAGATGTACGCAAAGCTTCAGAAATATTAGTGATAGAGGGATTATTTCTGCTTGCGCGATCAGAGTGTTGGCTGTGACCCTGTGAGGATTTCAATATATTGAAAAGAAAACGAACAGAGAAATAAATCGACTAATTTAAACAAGCAAATCACTTGTTAATAAAACTGTCGGTCAAATGAACACATATTTGAAAACATTATCAAAATCCAATATTGAATGCGAGGCAAAAATAGATTAATCAGGATTTTCACATCATAAGGTAGAGGAAACTCAACAAGGTGATTGAATCATACCGTTTACCAGTTGCCAAAGTGCACTAAGATTTTGAATCTATATATATTCCTCTACACATTTGAACAAAATTTAAAACACTGAAAAGCTGGGTTAAACAATGTTGTGATTCGGCCCGCGACGCTTCACTAAATTTTAGTAACAAAACATCCGTTTTGATGAATATATTCTTTAGACTATTATATTATACTATAACCTAACAATTATATATTTCACAATTACTCGTTTAATGAGCATGTAATTTAATTATAATTAAGCAAATGGCAACCAAAACGCAGAAAAGTTATGCTAAGTGCAAAGGGTTAAATGGCGCTGAAAATATTCAAATGAAATTTTATGAGATGCAATGAGGAAATAAATCTATATTCTATTCTAGAGAAGTATCACTGTTTGATTTTTATTATAAAAAGTACCATCCGTTCGGTTTTTCAACTTTCTAAAAATGTGCGACCCGCCAATGACTTGCAACCTTAATATGGCCCGCGAGCGACAAAAGGTTGCCGACCCCTGTTCTATTGCATCAAAATTATAATTATTCAATTGAACTCAAAAGAATTCAATATAACCAAGCAAGAGCGTAGCGAGTGAGGTTCTTAAATCCCTAATTGCCAAGTTCAACAGTAACAGCTAACGGGTCCGGTGAACGTGGATTTTCCAAGAGTCTTTGAGTCAGTGTTTCAAGCTACGATAAACTGTACGAGGGAGCCCAACCCGCTTGTTACGCCAGTGTAAACAAGACGGAATTGACTCAAATATTCCCAAATCTCAACATACAAACCTGGTTCATGATCAGCATTGCTTGAGGTCTTGAAACAAAGCCTCTCCTCCTCTGTTTCTGAAAGTAAATTTAAAATAGATAAAGCGGGAGAATTGATAAGATCTTTTTCATATCTGTTTCATGACAAGAATATGGAAATTTTAATGAGAGATAACTGCTTTAATTGTACCATGAATTGACATTAGCAGTCACAACAAAATAGAAAACGACAAATGTCAATCGAACAAGTCCATAGAAATTCATATGATAAGCCAAAGTTTTTTATTTGCTGCTGCATACATAGTGGTACATCAATGAAATGATTGTAAATTTATTTATATGTGTTGTCTACCCAACCGGGAAGAAATCCCCCCCACTCCCCCCCAAGAAGGAATAAAAAAAATGTTTTTTATGCTACATCCATTCAGACTAAAATTGTACAAAGTATAGAACGAGAATATCGGTCAGAAACCGAAGACTTATCGATCGAAATTTAGGTTATCCCCCAAAACAGCGCTCTTACTCCATAGTGACACCTTGTGTCCCATCACTAATTAATTAATAAATAGCTAACTATACGACATAATTTCGTGAGATATCGCGTGCTTCTAACAGACGAAAACCTATCAACATACTTACCGATTAAAATCGAAGTAACAATATCTCACCGTTAGATAGGTGTTGCTACCAAACAGACAGCTTGTGAATTTCAATAATTGACTTGCATCCAGGGGCGCTACTCTATAGAATCGAATGATCAGGTTTGTGGCGAGTTCGTCGATCAATTCGAACTCTTTCAAAACTTGTGAAGTGAAACTTTCAAACTCGATATGAAGGTCCAAGCTTCTCATTGCTGGGTTTTCTAAAATAAAATTATAATTATTGCTGATATGAGTAAGAATTGAAGGGGCCTAGAGCAGTGGCCCTCAACTTTTTCCCTTCCGTGGCCCGTTTTTTTTTCTAAAATTTCCGTGGCCATCTACCTTTTTATGAAAGGGAAAAACTACAAAAAGAAACAAAATCTTTCACTTCATTATTTCAGATCAGAACAAAGTATAAAAAGACAAATATATATTTTTTCCACTTTTATTTTTAGGGTCATAATCTTATTCAGGAAACATGAAAAAATCAACAAACCTGAAGTTGTAAACGAAACCAGATCTGCTCCTTCAATGAAATCTGTGATCCAGGATCCTTTCTATAAGAGAATGTGAAATGAAAATGTAAGATATGGGTCAGTACCAGAAATCAAAACAAGAAAGCAATGCTCAAAATGGGCACTCCAGAAGTATGTGCACCAAGATGGCGGACACCGGAACGTCATATATGTACCAGGTTAGGGTTAGGCCATAATTTTATTCAATTTTCCTCATTTCAGTTCTATTACGAGTTCAGTTACTAGTCAAGTGACACCTGCAGTATTTGTACCTAAAATTATGGCCTAACCCCAACCTGGTACACATACTACGTTCCGTGACCATCATCTTGGTGCACATACTTCTGGAGTACCCAAAAATGTGGACACGTAGTAGCACGGGTACACAATTTGTCACAGTAGACTACAGGGACTGTATGGCAATTTGCAGCTGAAAGATTTGAACTGACGCTAAAGGGTAACCACCACAGAGCGCAATTTTTAATTTTGATGCCATCATCGCACACAAATAAACGAATTCCATGGAGGCTACAGAAATTTTTGAAATGAATAAAATAGCCTTCTAGCAAAAACTACAATCTTTAAAGCAATTGGTCCAGTAGCTAACGAGAAAATTTAACATGAAGATGAAAAGATAACGTTATGATCAACAACAACATAATAACGAAACGATCCATAGGTCTACTTCATGTCCAATAAGCAGACTGTATAATAAGAAATTTTAGATGAACAAGAGAAACTAGTGTTATACCAAAAAATGAATCAAAATCTGCCTTCACTAAGTATCGTTCGCCATGAACATGATTAACTAGTGTTATACCAAAAAATGAATCAAAATCTGCCTTCAATAAGTATCGTTCGCCATGAATACATTAATTTAAAAAGCCAATTAACTGTGATTCTTTTATTTTCTTTAATGGCATCTTTATTATTATTAAACGTGGCTAATAAAATAAATAATTTAGACCTGTTAAAACTAATTTTTAATGAAAAGCAAAAGGCCGTTTTGAGAATATCTAGGGACCACGGTTTATAAAATGGTACTCCCGAAGCATGTGAACCAAAATGGCAGACATCGTAACATATTATGTGTACAAAGTTAGGGTTAGGCCATAATTTTATTAGTTCTGTTACGGGTTTAGGGATCAGCCAAGTGACATCTGTAGTATTTGTACCTGAAATTATGGCTTAACCCTAACCTGGTACACATACTATGTTCCGGTGTCCGCAATCCTGGTTCATATACTTCGGGAGTACCCAAGAACAAATGATTTGAAGTATATGTATGGAAGGATGACACTCACATGCTGCTCTGACGATTCCTTATCTGGAAATGTTATAAAAAGCTTTTTGCTTTCGTAACAAAAATCAACACAATTTTTCCACTGATCACAAGGAACGAGAGTTTGTTCTCCAATCTGTAACTCTATGTAGTTCAAGGTGAGAATCCTAAAACAAATTGATTTTACACATTGTACATATTATATAAGTATGGTTTGGCCACTAAACGATTTACTAGACTCAGCACAATTTTTCTGCCTCAGCTCATTATGCTCAAACACAAAATATACGCGGCGCGGCAGTGTGGCTCAACGGGCTAAGAGTTAGGAATACGCTCGTCACCGCACCTCTAATTACTCTGCATGGGTTCGCAGGTTCGAATCCCATGCAGGGATGGTTATGCAGGATTGCTGGACTCCTCACCATCGTTGGGTGGTTCACGTAACCGCTGGTCGGTTACGGCTTCCTCCACCACTAAGTCCATGCTTCCGAAAACAAACAATATATAACTAATCCCATACCCGACTTGGAATGGTAACCGGACGAGAGGCCGTGGTTCGCCATATGGATAATCCGTCTTATCGGTTTTCTCTCCCCCGGCATAAATATGTAAATCCTATCCTATCCTATACTATACCACAAATAAACAAATGGTGCTCCAGAAGTATGCGCACCAAGTTGTCGCACAACCTGAATCCTAACCATTGCACACATACTATGTTCAGGTTGTGCGCCATCTTGGTGCGCATACTTCAGGAGGTCCAAACAAATTTCTTAGAAGAGAATGAAAAGACTAACCTTCTAGTGGCACTAGACGAATTGACATCATTCAAAAACATACGGACACCCTGGAATAGAAACATCATGAACAAATTCAAATATAACTATAATGAGAGTGATTGCCCGGAGATGACATGGACAAACTATGGCCAACAGGCCGAATTCAGATCATTGAGTGATTAGTTTCTGCTCAATAGGCCAGTTAGATTATGATCGTAGTCTGTGTAAGTTGTGTTTTAGGTTAACACTTTCATGTTATGGAGACACAATTAGGATATATGGGAGAAATTTATCAAAACTTCTCGCTCATTTGATTCGAAGGCGTGCTCTTCACAGTGAGTTTACACCACCTTCTTTCTCAAATTTTTGGCTCTTGGTCCAAAAACCTTGGGAGAGGAATTTTGTATCCAACGATATTATCATTCCTCATTATTGGTGATTTATACACACAATATAAACTACGTGAACCATGCAAAGTGGGAGTGTTGCTAAGGTTTAATCAAAGATTGGGTACTCCCATAGTATGTGTACCAGGTTAGGGCATGATTTTATTCAATTTTCCTCATTTTACTTCTATTACGAGCTCGGGGACTGTCTGTAACAGCCAAGTGAATATCCTCCTGCCCATAGGTTTCAGTCCCTTTAAACCACTTGATGTGAAGTAGGCGAACAAAATTAGTTGCATCCATATTGGTACACACACTTCTGGAGCGCCAAAGATAGCATACAAAAAGTATTTTTGGGGCGTAGCAAGAGATCCAAGAATAAAGCGTTCCAAAATAGTCGAAGAGAGGAATTTAACGAAAAAAGTTGTGCTGACTGGACGGGAGCAAAAAGTACCATTCGCCATGATGCCAGTCGCCAATTTAATTTGACATGCAGCATTGCAGATTAGGATGAAATATCTCCATATCAAACAGATAATTGCTATGAATTCTTCTCAGCAATTTATATCAGATTTGAAGATTCTTGTTTTTTTTTCAAGTCCATTTTACTTTGTAAAATATGATATTAAATGAGCATTTCGATGCAAAAAGTCAACTTTAATAATAAATGGTTACTATCAATAGAGGTTACGCAAGACTAACTCCCAATCCTTTCTCATTGCATTTGCGCTTATGGGTTGCTGCGCACTAACACATTTGTATTTCTGTATTTCTTGAATTGCATAATTTAAATAGTGAAACAGTTATTTTGTTTCAATATATATAAACAAGAACTTACATAATCAAACTTGTCATGGGAAATGACAAGAAACTTTGTCAGCAACTGCTGATTGCCATCACACCAATTGGACACTTTACTTTCCCTCACATTGGTAGGCCACATGCGTAAAATAATCTCCACGATTGATTTCTGGAGTTGGAAATCTCCTACATGTGGCAAACTCTTGAATGCTTTCTCCCTGTTGCATGATTGAATATTGAAGTTAAAACGGTTTGATGATCATGTCAAAGTTGAAACATATATCACATTTTACTGAAACGGTTACCGCACTGGAGAACAGATGTATTTTAAAGAGGATATAAGAAAATCAAGGCCACAATCAGTACAGGATTTTGGGCCGTCAGACAAGTAGAACAATTCATACGATATCTAACTGGTAAAGAAAAGCACAGAGAAAACAAGAGACAGTTTATATTTATGTTATTTCAGATGTGATTAACATGAAGATATGGTGATCCATGTAATATTTTTCACATAAACTTCCCTGATTTAGAATGTATTAGATATACCATATTCAAAAATATTTTTTTCAGAATGTTTTTCGAATAGTAAAATATTCGGTTTTGCTCATTCCTGGCTACAATAATTTATAGTCCAACGGCATTATTCCTAGAGATCAATCTTTGTGCATATTACCTTGGTTTGAACAAATTTTCTTTAAAAAATAATCTTTATAAAAAGGTATGAACGATGAACTGAAATTCGAAATCCACTAAGAATTTCAATCGAATAGTAAAATATTCGGTTTTGCCCATTCCTGGCTACAATAATTCATAGTCCAACGGCATTATAGCGATCGTTTGTAATTATTCTTAGAGATCAATCTTTGTGCATATTACCTTGGTTTGAACAAATTTTCTGTAAAAAATAATCTTTATAAAGAGGTATGGACGATAAACTGAAATTCAAAAATCCTCTAAGAATATCTTGATTTAAGATTTGATATTTGATTGAAGATAAAAGTTATGGACGTCTGATAGCACTGCAGTAAAAATGTGCCTGTGACTACTATAAAAGAAGTTTTGCTTGCATTTGGTGAATAGATAATCAGTGTCTGGCATTTTCTTACGGTAGTAAGTCGGAAGTTTAAGTCAGAACATTAATCATATTTCGAACTTGCCATGGAGGTTGGGGGTTGTTATTGAAATCCTTGGTTTAAATTTTTCAAATTCTTTGACTTGGGAGCCGTAAACAATATTTTAACACTCGGAAATCGATGATACTGTAAAATTAGGAGAACATTCTCACCAAATTTGGTCATAAACCTTCACATTTTGTTCGATAGAATTCCGTAAAAACCCAACAACCTCCGTGTCTTCATCAGAAAATATTCCAAGAAATTTTTCAGCAGTCTGAAATGAAAAGCATTACTATTTCCACATAAAAATAACATATTTGAAAAACTTACCCGTGCTTTTGTATGTTTATTAAAAACCTATTAGCTTTCATCCGCTTTCATCCAAGTCAGACACATATGGACCTTTCCACGACCTTTCACCCCCGAAAAATTCTTCCTATACTTTATCATTGTAAAATTTTCGGGGCTTATTTTAAAATTGTTTTCGCGAGTTGGCGCCTGTAAAATGGGGTATGTGTTTCAAACCATCATTATAACTCGCATACAACAATCTATTTTAAAAATTACTGGTACAGAATTTTAGCCTAGTCTATCACAGCTATTTCTACACTAATTTTCATTATTGCAATTAAACTAAAACTCCTAAGAAGACAGAGTGATCATTGAATTATCTGATTTATATTTAAATTTCCGAAACACAACTGAAAACTAACGAATAGAGTTCAAAAACACTAAAACGAGGTAATGTTTACGACCACGCCTGAAAATCTGTCTGAGTGAGAAAAGTGTCTAAGCGGATGCGAAAAGGGAGCATTGTTACATCATTTTATGCATCTTGCTGATTGGCCAATGCCACGAAGTGAACAAGGAAGTCGATGCTCGGGGAAAGGTCCATAGGATGGGATTTCCATATTTATCCCGAAGGAGAGGAAAGTCTATAAGACAGCGTAACCATATCGCAAACCATGGCTTCTCATCCGACTAACATTCCGAGTCAGGTACGAGGTCAGATAGTAGTTTGTTCTCAAACGCTTAGCACAATGAGCCACGTCGCCGAGCCATATTAATAAAGGACCCCATAATTCTTTGTGACATTTTCAAATGGAATTGTTTCAAAAATTTCCATATTCTTTCTTTATCCTCAAAACACATTTCCAGTATCTCTAACATACCTGCATTCTGATGACATAATATACTGTACAATCCGATATAATAGAACTAATTTTTTGCAGCAAGTTTTGAAAAAACCAGTTGAAATGATCATTCATTCTTCCACAATAATCCTGAACAGTAAAAACATAAGAATGTGAGTTTGGCATGAATTCGAAAAATTTGGTTAAAGTTGAAACTATCATTTTCACACTAAATATATTTATATTGACAGTATGTACGTTTGCTATTTGCCTCAAAAATGTAACAGTATCTGCATAATAATTAAACAGTATAACAGACACAGGATACATACTCAAGACCTTACTGTTACTGGTCTAAGACACCGATGTGTGACGTACCCCTAACATGTAAAACTGCTATTTAAGACGGCAGAATACAGACATGAAATAGGCTATACAAATAAAACTCTAGTACACTTGTTCAATACGCAAGATAAGGAGGTACGACACAACGGCGATAAGTGCAGAAGGCAGTCCTTCACAGGAACCAACTAATTAAGTAGAGTTTATTACCTAAGGGTGATGTAGGATAGGATTTACATGTTTATCCCAGAGGAGAGGAAAGTCGATAAGACGAATTAACCATATGACGAACCACAGTCTCTCGTCCGGTTACCATTCCATGTCGGGTATGGGATTAGTTAGTTATTTGTTCTCGAAAGCATGGATTTGATGGTGGAGGAAGCCGTAACTGAACAGAGGTTACGTGAACCACTCTACGACGGCAAGAAGTTTAGCAATCATCTCGCACATAACCATCCCTGCATGGGATTTGAACCTGCCAACCCACGTAGAGTAATCAGAGATGCGGTGGCGAGCGTATTCTCAACGCTTAGCACGATGAGCCACACATAGCCAAGATATATCTCAGTGAAATGATAAAAAAAAGTCATTGAGTCAACCATGATTCATGCAACTGCCTTGAGAACGTGAGCTGTTTTTATTAACCTCTTGAACCCGGCAAGCCGGTTTATCGGTTTGTTTGAGTACGCTCTGTGCCCCGGCAAGCCGGTTTACCGGCTTGCTTTTCGTGACGGAAGGAATCAACTTTATGATCTCTTATCTCAAGAACCACAATGAGTATCTAATTAGGGAAGCAAGAATTCTAAATCGATAAGATTGGTAAATATACACTGCCATAATAAGAAACATAGCAAACTAGACACAACAACAAAAGAAACATGAATGTACATTGTACACCACAACCTACAGCTTTAGTTTATTTTTAGGATTAGCAGTATATACCGGTAGTTGAGCTGTTGAAACAAAATATACCATGATTCATGAAATCTTAAGAAAAAATTAAATTGCCAAGGGAATTTGTTTATACCATATATTGTTTTGGTCCTCAGATGTATTGAAAGAAGTAAAAATACTTGAACAATTACTGGTTAGAAAACAACATACCTAAATATATTGAGTACTGACTCCATAACAAAATTGAAATTGTAGAGAGACTTTATGGACACCCATACATTAGCATAATCATATGCAACTTTGAAAAAATTCAGACAAAAATTATGAACTCACAACAATCAACCTAAGAAGATTAAGATAAAGTTGATCTCCATCAGGTTTTTGCGATTTCTTCAAGCTGACTTGAGAGAAAGCGAAACCAAGCATAAGATCTGAACAAATAAATAAAATTTTTGATGATATAAGATGAGATTAATTAAAGTCACAAGGTGAAATTTGTATTGTTTTTTGAACATAGAATAAAAATAATTCAAAGTCATTCAAGAGCCTTGCTGCGAGACTCTCGATTCAACCTAAAATAGCTATCTTCAATCTTGCTGAAGCATTATATCAAATGCATACAGGTACATTGGCTCAAACATGTGTGAGGAGAATAAGGAGTCACACAGAAACCCAATCGATAAAAAACTCAATTGATAACTTGAGGCACTAATTCGTGAATTTGTTTGTCATAGGATATGAAAATAATCGACCAGATACCTGTTGCATTGATATACTTGGGCTGTAATAATGGTGAAGAAAGTCATAAGTATGAAGAGTTAATTATTAAGTATTAAGCTACAGCTTGAGTTCAGGTAAACGAATCTTCAAACCTACATGAGGTCATCGAAGGAATGACAGTATAAATTCAGCTGTTTTATATCGATTTTCCCCGAGTAAAACTATTTCAATTTAGTGTATTTTCAAAGATAATTAGGAAGAAAAAGTTCAAAGAAATGTTTAATAACTCACCAAACTGTTCATGGAATCCACAGGAAATTAAAACTTGAATTGTATCGGGTTGGTTTTGTTGTAATAGGTAATTAAAAACTTGAACTACGACCCCAACATTTCGAAGGTTCTCATCTTGAATTGCCTGAGATTGAGAAAAATATCATCATCATTAAAGTAAGAAAGCACTGATTAAAAAACACAGCAAGTTGAGCACTAACTTCGCTAGTATATAATAATTCAGGTACAGAGTACAAAATTAGATACATTACAGAATTCTCATACGAGAGGCACGAGTTTTACAAAATATCACAGAGTATAGGCTTCATCACTCAGGACTAGGTTGATATTTGAATGAATGAAGTATGATATCCAAGATTATTAGGAAATTGGTATATGAAGTGTTGGGTCCAATTACACTGGTGTTGACGGTTGAAAATCGCTGGTTTGAACAGAGCAAGTTTAACCCTAATTTAAGCGCATTGTACAAAATTAGACAAATTACTTCTAAATAACACTTCGCTGCCTGTGATTGGGCTGTTGATTATCTAGCCTTGTTTCTAGCGAGAAATTTATACACAGAACAGTACATTTAAAAGTAAATGAACAATGTTGCTAAAGTAAGCGCAAAGTATAAATACAAAACAAACAAACCTGATCGATCAGAACACCAAAGTTTTTTACAAAATTATTTGATATTTTTTGTGGACAGTTGGACACATTCGAACCAAGGTAAAACGAGATGTCATCATATGATGTGAAATGAGTTATCTTCGACTCCAACTGAACAGAAAATATTGTAATATTGTTGATTTTGAATATAAATTTAGCATGATTTGAGGGGAAAACATGTAAATGTAGAATATAAACATACACAGTTTTAGCCCCTAAAACCAGGCACTCTAGAATTCAGGCAGTATTTAGGCACCATTCAAGGCGGTATGGTGGTTTTCTTAGTAGTTTATTAAGGTTTCGGTATTTTGAATAACTTGTGCATTTTCATATTGCATGCAACAATAATATATGTTTGTATGAGCAAATGAAACTTGCCAATTTAATAAGGTATAATTAATTGTTCAATGGTAAAATGTGGCAACCCTAAGAAGGCCCTTCGTGAAAATATATTTTACACTGTTTCCGTCATTGTAATACAAAACATTAGGACAACTAAATAATTTTTACTATTAAAAAATTGATTAAACCATATTAAATTAGAAAAATATTGCTGCATTGCGATATAGGAATGCACAAGATCATTCGATGGTCAAATAAAACAGAAACCTAAATGAACCACAAAAAAAAAGGTCCTAAATGGGGCCAGAATTCGCAAGTGACTGGTTTTACGAAGCCGAAATAGAAATATATTCAATTCAAATATCAGAATATGAAGAATAATAACTTTATAATACGCTTTAATAAATACTCTTACCAAATTGCAAGAATCCATTTTCTCTTCAAACTTTTCCAAGCAGATGGTTTTGGAACGATCAAGTATATCTGTATATAGAGCACCTACTCACTTATATTTGATATTTAATGTTTTTCTAAATCAATTAATTCTGTATTTATTTCATAACAGCATTCTGACATTAGATCTGCTATGGACATATCTTAAATTTCAGTACGGCACACAATACAGGTCGAGAGACATTGTCTCGTTTCAGGGAAACCCATTTTACCGATGATCAGATACCCCTCCTTTGGGAGACGTCTAGACATCATTGTCCCTCAATATCAGTGATAATACAGTTTAATTAAGTTGCGCAAAATACTACAAAAAAGCGCAATCTGATAACGTCATCATTAGATTCCTCTGGAAAAAATAATCTGATTTACCAAAGGAAACATTTTTTTAAAGTGTCCTTCGAGAGTTTTTAGCAAAAAACTGCACGTTTGGTCACGTGACGGCCACGATTAATTTAGATTATTATTGAGACAAGCATGGCGTGATATGAAGCATCTGACGTGGTGCCAGTCCGCCCTCGTTTGGGAGACACTGGGAGTGTTTGTTTTATTGAGCCAAATGGAGGGAAATTCTTGGAATTTGGATAGTGTGCCCTGAATTTAGTGAAATATGGGAATCAATAATGCCATTAACTAACCTGTTGCCCGGGGTGGGCAATATAGAATACCGAAGGACTCTAATCCAAAAGGATCCGATAACAGGATTCGGTTTTCGTCTCTTCGGCGCCGTGCGTCAATTTTTGTCATAAATTGCAGTGACCTCTGTCTAGACTGTGTTTTCGGTGGTCTTACATTAATAATAGTTTATAGTTTTTTCAGGCTGTTACCTGACAAGAATTTTACTATTTAGTGATTTTCCTGGGTTAGTGAAGAGTCGATAAAAAGGCCTAACCATACAGTCATGTGGCGAACCACAGCCTCTCGTTTGCTTACCAGTATATTTCAGGTACCCGTCTGCCGGTACCGCCTGACCGTAGTCTACTTCGGGATGATTAGTTAGCCAGCAATTTTTACTTTTACACCTTGCCAGTATGTAGAGTTATACATGGGTTCGGTTTTAGGTTTAGAGTCATCTTAGGACACCTAATTTTAATCGACAGTCAATAATGCAACAAAGAGTGCGAACGTATTATGTATGAATGCGAATGTATGAACTGTATTGATATATAGCTTAGATAGCCTAGACGAGGGTTCCCAAACCAGGGGTAGCGACCCCAAATTGGGTCGGAATGATAAGTAGGTACGGTCGCAAACAGGTCATGGGGTCGGTGGGGTTGCTGAGGTATGGTAGAAGATGGATGTATAAATCATCTAAGATTTGACAAACCATGTTAATTTTAGCAGTTTGTATCATTGCTTACTGTAAAACAGGCCCATAGACATCGCTCTATGCTTATGCTTTAGAAAATGTAGGTGCTTATTTTGACATCACTGTTTGGTTTTAGCTTATTTTACTTAATACCACCACATGACCAAACTCAAAAGTCCAGTGAAAGAAGCTCTAAAGTTTCAGGGAAAAAAATATATTGACCTGGGGTCGCACTGGACGCTTGAAAGTTGTCTTGGGTCATCCTGAAAAAAGCTTGGGAACCGCTGGCCTAGACCAAAGTTACCCTAGCAGTCATCTCTCAGCAGACATCTTTCTCGTTTTTGAACGCGCCGATCACAGTTGCCAGAACTCAGATTTCAAATGAGCAAAGCGAGAAAAAAGCATGATGCAAAATCAGCTGATGCTCAATGGGCTGCCAAATTAATCATAAAAACTGCGAATAGTTGCCAAAAAAACATAGTTTTCGCCTAAATATAAGTGTCTTACAATTATATCCGCTTAGTATAAAAAAGACAAGTATAAGTGCTTATAATAAGAAGTACACACGAGTTTGACAAAGATTGGATAGGGGAAGATATATTTATTATCGTTTACACTTGACTCAGTCGTCAATTTATAATGAAGCAAAAAAAACTATTTTGCCCCCCAAAAGATGTGTCTTACAATCACGGTCCTCCCCATTTGCACAACCCTGTCCGTTAGGTTTACATAAATATATATATGTAATCTGAATCTCCTCGGCATTCGCTCCCTGACACAAAATAACTAAAATGCATGAAATAGGGATTCCGCAACACAGGATGAGCCAAAATCACTTTTATAACAGCTGTCACCCCACTTTTGTCTCATCATGTAAGTTTACTGTTTACATATATATTATATATACTGGACTAATATCGAAAACTTACAGACCTTAGCTATTTATTTGTTATAATTCACATCGCTACCATTTAATCCTAACCGACGGCCCCACCTTCGCGATCCAAATGCATTTGCCTCGGTGCGATCCTCGTCCACGCGTTCTGATGAGAAAAGAGGCAATTATAATAAAGAAACAAGATGAAGAAAGAGTTGAGTCTTGTTGTCCGTCACTGATTACTTGATAAAAGCATCACATGTTTTGTTTACGTCCCTGTTCATCCCGAACCGAAAATCTTTGCGTGCCGTTGTTTTTCGTTTATCTATGTAATTACAAATGGCGGACAAACTTTTGAATTGAAAAAAAAATCCATTTCTTAAATTATGTCTTGCAACCTTATCGCATGAGAATTTGAGCGAAAAAATATTGCTTGAATGAAAGATTTGAACTTTTATCGTATGGGAATGAATATTTTTGTAACTGAATGAATTTATATGTTCCCGCATTTGCATAACGAAGCATGGCGGTCTTCATAGGCTGTGTTATAACCAGTGGTGTGATTCAAATTTTTTGTCAGTCGGTTCTATCACAAAAGTCATATTTTTCAGCCGTTTCAATAAAATAAGGGATATTTTTTTAGTATATAAAACCAGTAATGCTAACCGGTTCGCTGATCTCATAAAATTCCATGAGACGGTTCTATAGAATCGTTGCGAACCGGCTGAATACCAATACTGGTTATAACGCTTTCTAATTTGAGAATTTGAGCGAAAAAGTGTTGCTTGAATGAAAGATGTAACTTTTATCGTATGGGAATGAATATTTTTGTAACTGAATGAATTTATATGTTCCCGCATTTACATAACGAAGCATGGCGGTCTTCATTGGCTGTGTTATAACCAGTGGTGTGATTCATCAAATTTTTTGTCAGCCGGTTCTATCACAAAAGTCATATTTTTCAGCCGTTTCAATAAAATAAGGGATATTTATTTAGTATATAAAACCAGTAATGCTAACCGGTTCGCTGATCTCATAAAATTCCATGAGACGGTTCTATAGAATCGTTGCGAACCGGCTGAATCCCACTAATGGTTATAACGCTTTCCAATATCCATCATAATAGCAGGTATATATATATACCTTTTTCGATGTGGGGACGCCACGTAAAATAGAGCATTCTACCTTATTTATATTCGAAACAGTGAGGGTTTGCACGTGCGCTCGATGACAAAGAATTCGGTTATGATCATAAATACAATACCGTATTCAACACCCCCACAGCCTTTTCCTTAAAATAAGACCTATAGTCGAAAGTGCGAATGCATCTAGTGATTTGCAAGGCAATTTCCATGGGATTATGATATGGTCATTTTTTATTGATCCGTTTTTAGCAGTTTTTTTACAAATAAAAACGTGTTATTTATAAGTAAATGGATAACGGCTTTAATATTTTGCATATATATTTCAAAATCTGGCGCTCTACCTTTTAATTTTGCTTTAGATAAATAAAAATGAATAAATCCCCCAAAATAAGCCCCAGTGTCATTTTCGAAAGAAAATTGAAAATAAGACCCAGTCTTATAGTACTGTAATCCTCGCCGTCGCAAGACGGTTCGTCAAAACAGCCGCACGTTTCCCAACCTTAGATTTTGTTGATCGTTTCAGGGGAGGAATATGGCTGTGTATTTGCTGTAGTATTACTAATATTCTTCAGTTTTTTATTATTACAACGATATGATATACCTATGATATTCAAGCGCGCATATAGGCTACCAAACTGAACCAAAACGGAAGAGACTATTTTAAGAATCATACCATGGTGAAGAAACTCTCCCAAAGTCACTAGATTCCGAAAAGATAATTCAACATGTGGAAATGCCGGATTGTTTTCTTTATCAGTTAATTTAATCAGAAACCCAATGCAGTTAAAGCTCATATGTTCCATAATGTTCGTAAAAAAAATACCGTGTTTCCCCGGAAATACGACCTAGCTTGAACTTTTCAAATCAATTTCAAAAATCAAAAACGCGAATTCTTTTTTTGATCTAGTCGTTAGCAAGAAATCTCTCCTACACGTTTTAAATGAATAAAAAGTGTTACCTATAAGTAAATGGATAGTGGTTTTCATATTTTGTATATTTAAATATTTCAGTTTTTTCTGCTATGTAATTTTTTTTTGGTGCTCCCGAAGTATGCGAACCAAGATGGCGGACATCGGAGCGTAACATGGGTAACAGGTTAGGGTTAGGCGATAATTTTTTTCCAATTTTCCTTATTTTAGTCCTATTATCAGTTCGAAGTCTAGCCAAGAGCCTCCCGTAGTATTTATACCTAAAATTATGGCCTAACCCTAACCTAGTACAGATATTACATTCCGATGTCCGCCGTCTTGGTTCGCATACTTCGGGAGCCCCTTTTTTTTTGATAAACGAAAGTATAGGACATCCCCGAAAATAAGCCCTAGTGTTCTTTTTCGGAAAAAATTGAAAAAAGACCCAGTCTTACTTTCGAGGAAACACGGTATATCACATAGTTGGGTACAACAGCAAGGAAACAGTTACCGTACCCCAACTTAAGACTATAGGTCCTAGGATATCTTTTCACTACCTTGGATGGGATTTACATATTTATCCCAGGAAAGATGATAAGACGGCTTAATCGAATGGCGAACCACGGCGTCTCGCTCAGTTATCATTACATGACGGATATGGGATTAATTAGCCAGTTACGGTTACGGTATTGTTTCAAATGCATGAACTAGCCAACGTACCGTACCTGCGCTGTATCAGGGTACCGGTACCCGAACTGTCCAAGGTTTTCCAGGACTCGTATGATAATAATTTATGCTTCCAGACAAATATCGGTATAGAGACGCGATAGCCAAAACGTTACCCAGGGCAGTACTTAACTTTTCCGCTGCGTGGAGCGAGGTTTCTGATGATGATGCCCCTTATACCAAACTTGAAAAATAATTTGGGAATAAACAAATCATAGATGTTGTTATACATGAGAATGAATAAATTGAAGGTCAAGTAAGAGTGGAATGTTAGTATCAATTATATCTAAATCATCAAACCAACCCAGCAACTGCCCTATGCCCTCACCTAAACACGCTCTCGACCGTACCCCATAAAATCTTCAGACTTTCGCTAAGCACATGGTCTGCTAACATGCGATTGCAGAACCGCTACAAGTATTTTTTAATTTTGTTGATGTCATATTCAAGACATCGAAGTATTACAAATACTGGAGAGCCTTCTAGCGACAATAATAATCTACAAACACTCAAAATTTTACAGCAATTGGTCCAGTAGTTGAAGAGAACAGAATAACAACGTAACTAGATAGCGATCGGAGACCGCCGACTTATCGATCTTCCGCGGGTTTTGATTTCGATTTTGCTCTGACTCAATATCGACACGGTGTGTCCCATCACCAAATAATTAATAACAATAATTCATCCAAAATCAATAGGCTTCTGGTCCGAGATATGACAAATGCAAAATTTGGAGCAGATTCAGCCTCGCTTTCGTGAGAACATACGGAAGTGAAACAAGCAGACAAATACCTATCAACATACTTACCGATCGAGATCGATAAGTAATAACAAAATGTTCCATAGGTCCACCTCGTGAACAAGAAATCGACTGAATCTCAAAGCCTCTCCTTCTTTACAACTATTTTTCAAAATGAATTAGACCACAAAATTAAAGTATGAGGTTTTCATTTGATCAAAAGAATGTACAGTGATTCGGTGATTACGTATAAAAACAGTGAACTATTAGTGTATGAAGTAAAAAATATAACAGGTCTAAAATATTGGACGGAATAACGATAAATAAACATAATTTCTTTCTAATGCAAGAGAGGAATTCTCAAGTATATACAAACTATAATTAAATTAAATTCTATATTGAAAATTAGTTATCAGGGCCGAAGCTGTAAGTATATGTGGAACTAGTATGCGCCTCAGCTTTTCATTTTGGAGGGGGGGATTTCCAATTTAGGTGGTAGTAAATATTTTGCTGTTAGCAATAAAAGTATTTGTAACTCATAAAAATTTGCTATGTATTCGACGGACAATCTGTGATGGTGTATACGCTACTCTCTGGATATTCAAATACAATTATATTTAAGCTAGGAATCACCTCATAATTAAGGATGTGTTTAAAATTTTAGAGATGGGTGGGGGGGGGGGGATTTCTTCAATATTGAAACTACAAATAATCCATCTCTATGAAAGTTAGGCCCAAAACGATTGGACGAATGGTTATATACTCCATTATAAGCTAGTACTGTGTTTTTGGGGTCATCTTGGAATAAGAAAGTAACTTAGGGTAAACTGAGCCAGTAAATAGAAAAATACTAATTATTTCATGCATAACATTTGATGAATATACATAATTTTAATTTTTGTCGGACGATTTTCCACGCTTTTCGGTAAATATATATTACCGTAGGAATTGTCTTTCGACCCATATTATCCTCGTTTAAGTATGGGCCATGGGTCTTTCTAAATGTGATGAATTTTTATAAAATAATCAGTAAATTCTACAGTGCATTTAACAGTAACAAATACTATGGAACTACTTTTTATAAG